GCCTGGCTCGATCCGTTAGACTGGAGGCGTCTGTCGATCCGTTGCCTCTGGCTTCGGGTCCAAACGCCTCGGCTATCCCGGAGGGGGAGGGTTCGCTCCCAGTTGGCGCAGGGTCCGTTGAGGATTCCTGGGGTTCCGTTCCCTGGCGCCGCCCGCCCCATGAGAGCGGAAGAGCCGGTTCTGCCCGGTCTTCCTCCCGTCTCTCGGGACCGGGGTTTGAGTGTGGTGTTGGTTGCAGGAGTGGGGACTTCCTTCGGCTCTTCCCTTCCCTCGGAGTCTATGGACGTTGGGGAGGTCGAGGAGCCAGAGGGCACTTTCCATTTCTCGATGGCTCTCCGGTAGGTGCGGCAGCGTATTGCCGAGTTCATTCCCCAAGCCGCGGTACCCACCAGTCACTCGGACTCATCTGAGTTCCGCCTGCCGGACGAGGCGTTTGCCCCAGGGCAACCCTCGCAGACACTGCTCCGCATCTCGCCTTCCCTGGTGCAGGACGTGATGGATCCCTTCCTGGTTGGGACACGCCTCGAACTCGTGAAGAGGTACCAGCTAGGGGACAATTCACTGTTCTTTGTACCGGTGGTTGACGAGTGCGTGTTTACTTCGGTCGCCCTGGGGGGAGGCTTGGCTTCCTCTGGTGCAGCCCCGGCTGCCAAGCAAGGGCGTTTAGTGCCTATGTTTGCCCTTGCGGGCGCCCCCCTGCAGCAGGCTTACCGGACTTATGAGGAAGTCTATCGGAATGCCATGCAGCAGGTGCGGGTTATGATCCATGAGGCCTACCTCTCCTCTATCCAAAGGTCGGCTCTGGAGGCTGAAGGGAGCACTGGGGACGTGTCCCCGCATGTTGTTATGCTTCGCTAGTTGTCCGAAGTGCAGGCCCACCTAGCGCGCGACTCCTTGCGGTCTGTGGCAACTACGGTGATGTGCGCAGTCATGGGGATGCGCAAGCTGTGGCTGTCGATGTCTCGTCACTCAGCAGCAACACAGCAGACCTTGCTAGCCCTTCCGTTCCGTCTGGGAGCGCCGTTGTTTCCTGTTTCCTGAGTCATTCGGGAGGCTGCTGCTGCAGCTACCTCCTTCAAGGACTCTAAGGCCTTGTTGGAGCATCCACGGGCTTCTCGCCCCCGCGCACCCGTCATGGTTTCCTCCTCCGGGGTGCAGCCTACACCCGAGTCTGCCGGCTGGCTAAGGCTGCTGAGCAAGGGTAGGAGGAGGAGCCGTCCCGCCAAAGGTAAGGGCAAGGAGCTGTCCTCTTCGTCTGGCTCCCGGCCTTTTCGCAGGCACGGGAGGTCTGCCCCAACCTCCTGTTAACCCAACTGGCTGTCACCGTGGGTCTGTCCCTTTCAGTTCATCTGCAAGGGACCACTCACGCTCTCTTACCACACGTCCCAGTGTGGGTCCGCCTCTCTCTATTCCCGCCGGAGTGGGAGAAGGCTACCAGCAACACTTGGGTGCTTTCCATGGTCAGTGTCGGCCATTTACCACTGTGGAAGCGAGTCCCGCCAGAATTCACCGGCATACGTTGCACTCCGGGACGAAGTTCAGGCTTTGCTGGTTAAGTCCGCAATAGAGCGCATACCACCGGGCGAGGACCAGGCGGGATTTTATTCCAAATACTTCCTCGTTCCGAAGAAGGACGGCGGGTTCCATCCCATTCTCAACCTCAAGGGGTTGAATCGCATGCTAGAGGTTCTGTCCTTCAAGATGGAGACACTTCGCTCGGTGATCTCCTCTGTTCAGCCCGGCGATTGGCTGACGTCGATCGATCTAAAGGATAAGTATCTACATGTGCCAATTCATCCATCGTTCAAGCAGTACCTCCGGTTCTCTTACGACAGGATGGGTTACCAATTCACGGTGCTCCTCTTCGGCATATCCACTAACCCCAGGGTGTTCACCAAGCTCATGTTAGTGCCAGCTACCCTCGCAAGGTTGCAAGGCGTTGTTACCCTAACCTCGACGACTGGTTGCTCAGCGCTCTAACTCAGCCAGGAAACCTAGATTCTACTCACAGGGTGATAGACATTCGACTGGGGTGGATCATAAACCTCAAGAAATCCGACCTGGTACCCTCCCAGGACTTGGTTTTTTCTCGGGGCACGGTTCCAAACTCACAAGGATCTTGTCTCCTTGTCGCCCGACCGGGTCCCCAGAGTATGGGAGATGGTGCCTTCGTTCTTCTCCCAGCCCCAGGCACCAGCGCGGACTTGGATCCGTCTACTGGGCCATATGGCGGCGACTATCTCTGTAGTGTGGCGGGCGCGGCTGAGCATGCTTTGGCGAGTCTGTGGGCTCACTCGGAGGATCTGGAGAAGTGTCTCACAGTCCCCAGGTGGTTGTCTCCTCACTTTCAGTGGTGGACCAATGTCGGGAATCTTTCCGAGGGGATCCCTTTGGAAATCCCGACGCCAGCTCTTACAGTTCAAACCGATGCATCTCTCACGGGCTGGGGTGTGTGTGTTCTGGGCAGTCTGTCGGTGTCTGGACTCTGGTCCGAAGCCGAAGCCTGCCTTTACATCAACGTCTTGGAACTGAGAGCTGTGCGGTTGGTTTTCGAGCACTTCCTGGGGCATGTTCAGGGCCAGGTGGTTCATCTTCAGTTGGACAACCGTACGGCCATGACGTACATCCTGAAGCAAGGCGGCACAGTGTCCCTAGCGCTCCTGGCCCCGCAAGAGTGGATGCTCGACCGGCAGATATTCAGAGTTATCTCCCAGTTGTACGGATCGTTCCAGGTGGATATGTTTGCGTCCGGCGGGACGAATCAGATACCCGTATTCTGCTCTCGAATACCGGACCAGAGGGCGTTGGCTTCCGTCGCCTTCCTGCTGGATTGGACGGGCACAGTGCTCTGGGCGTTCCCGCCGCTACCACTCATTCCCCCGGGTCCTCTCCCAGCTGTCCACCCAGCCAGCTCGGGTACTTGTGCTACTGGCACCGCTATGGCTGTCACAGAGCTGGTTTCCGGTAATTCTCAGGTTTCTGGCTCAGCCTCCTGTTTTATTTCCATTTGCAACCGGACATTCTCACTCAAAACGGCGCGCCATACCCCAATCCAAGGATTCCAGTGGGTGGCTTTGCCTCTGTCAGGTCTAGCCTCGAAGCACGCGGAATTCCTGCAGCAGTTGCAGACACAATTCTGGCTTCGAGGCGGGATTCAACAAACATTCAGTATGAGGATAGGTGGTCCCACTATGCGCGCTGGTGTTCAGATAAGTGGATTGCAGATCCCTTTTCTGGGGATTTAGTCCGAGTATTGGAGTTTTTGCAAGCTCGTTTGGAAGAAGGCTTGGCGGCTTCGACCATTTGTGGCTACTCCACCGCTATTTTCTCTTTTCACACCCTTGTCGATGGTGCCCTTCTGGGGCAGCACCCTCTCATGCAGCGCTTTTTAGCTGGCGTGGATCGGGTTTGACCTGCTGTCAGGCGAACCAGCCCACCTTGGGATTTGTCAATTGTGCTAGATTGGCTGTCCGGTCCTACGTTCTCACGTCTATCAGCTATTTCCATTCAGTTGTTAACATGGAAGGCTGTATTTCTGGTGGCGGTAACATCTGGGCATAGGGTCGGCGACTTACATGCTATGTCGGTAGACCCGGCGCTGACTGTGTTCCATCCAGATCGTGTCAGTATTCGCCTCCCGGATACTTACTGCCCGAAGGTCGATCATGCTTTCCATGTGACAGCTCCTATCGAACTTCCTACTCTTACCCAGCCTTCCACATCGGGGACCTCTCCAACGAGCACTCACCCGTTGGATGTCCGAAAGACTCTCAAGGTCTATATCACTCAAACACAAGGGATCCGTACGGGTACCCATCTGTTCTGCTGTTACGGTGGCGGGAAGGCTGGGGTGCCGGCAACAAACAGACCCTGTCTCGCTGGCTTGTTTCGGTCATTTGTGCTGCTTATCAGGCTAAGGGCAAGCCTCCCCCTGAGGGGTTGAAGGCTCACTCGGTCAGGGCAGTAACCACGTCAAAAGCTTTTGCAATGGCACTACCCATTGATGAGATATGCTCTGCCGCTATTTGGAGCAGGCCTAGCACTTTTATCAGGCACTATCAGCTCGATACACATTCACGTGATCGTGTGCGTTTTGGCCGTTCTGTTCTCTCCAGTGGACAGTGTCCTGCCACCCTGACAGAGTGAGTCTTGGTTATCTGGTTAGTTGACGCTGCTTTCATTTGTGTTTATTGATATATCCGCTGTTGTGTGATCTAACTCCTTGCGATTCTCTCCGGAGATTATGCTCTCTAATAGACCATGATGTGGATGGGGTTGTTTATTTTCGCACTGTGTGCGAACTTGCTGTGCTTAACCTGCGAGGTCGGTTCTAAGTACCTATCCTCCCTGTCGGTTACCCTCCCATAATTTCTCTCACGGAAGCTCCGGGACACGTGACAGGTGAGTGTTGTGGCGTCTGTTACATTATTCCTAACGATCGCTATTCATGTGTACTTTGACAGAATTCCCACCTCCCTGGCCTCCGGTCTTTGGGAGTCTGTGTTTATGCATATATGTACCCCAAGGACGATCTCTCTGAAAAAGAATTAACTAAACCTGCAGAGGTTTCCAATTCTTTGAAGAGAGTCGTCCTTAGGGTAGGGCCGCCCACCTCCCCGCAATTCTGTTCACTGATTTATTCAGCAGAAGGAATGATGATACGGGCCTAGGTGCTTACCTGGTTGGCTGCGCACGCGTAGCAGGGAGGTAACTCCACGTGGTGGGGGCCGTATAATAAATAAAAAAGATTTTATTTATTGTACAATATTTTTATTAAAACATTGATACAACTGTCACAGGACATTTTCAGCCGCAGAAAATGCATATATGTACCCCAAGGACGACTTTCTTCAAAGAATTGGAAACCTCTGCAGGTTTAGTTAATTATTTAGCATGAACAGTTCTTCATCTGACATTATTTATAGCACCTTCACTGTAATCCTTTCTTATGCAGTTGTTCCCATGAATTTTGAAAAATGGTGCATTTCCCTTTCTTGCAGACACTCTGCAAACCCAACTCTAAAGAAGAAGTGAACTTTGTTGATATATGTTTGAAATGGCAGCAAGAGCTCTCCAGAGTCTTAGGTAACAAAATATAAAGCCAGTAAGTCAATACCTTAAAGTAGTCGTAAGAATACTGTTATATAGATGATAATCTCACAATAACTTGTCATAAAGTTGTCTGCCGTTTGCTTGTACTTTGTAGTTTAGTTTTTGATGGTAGCAGAGTGGTGATTATTTCATTTACATTGTCTAGGTTTCCTGTCTGACCAAGTTTGTGATGGTGAACTGGCGGCTTTCATTACCTATGCATTGGCATTCCCTGACAATCTGATTGCCCTCATTGATACATATGACGTGATCAGGTCTGGCCTGCCCAACTTCTGCACTGTAGCTATGGCACTACATGAGGTGGGCTACAAAGCCCGTGGGATCCGACTTGACAGTGGGGATTTGTCATATCTATCTAGACATGTGCGCCAGACCTTTAAGAAGATTGCAGACAAGTAAGAAAAAGTATCTAAAATCTATAAAGAGGAAATTGGTGAATGTACAGCTTCATGAATTTGTAGTGTAATGTGAAGAAATTCTATGATACCTGCACAATACAAATACTCAGTAGTGAAAAGATACTGATGCTCAAGGTGAGGCCATGTTAACAAGATTTCATTGTATATGTTTTTTCCTTACTCTCTTAAGGTATTTTTCATGTTGTTACACTAAGTTTTACAGGTAAAGCCTGACTGGTTTTCTGTATTGACCAGCCCTGTCTTGGGATTGCCATGTAGTAAAATAGTTTGAATTTGACCTAATGACTGTAAGCATTGATTCTCCTCCTCTATTGCTACCAAATGTATAAATTGCTCTTTTCAGCTCAACCCATCAGATTGATTAGTTAGAGAACTGTGTCATTAAGTAGCTAAGAGCACACTTCATTCCATGGTAAAAATGGTGTGTGTAATACTATGGTAGTTACTGTTTCACCATGTTGCAGGTACAAGCTGCCCTGGTTTGAGAGTCTAGCCATAGTGGCCAGCAATGACATCAATGAGGACACCATACACTCCCTAAACCAACAGGTATATTGTCATTATACGTCAGCATAGCCTTGTCCATAGTAAGCTGTTTGGACTCTGACAAATTTCAATATACAGCTGTGTCTGTTGATTGTGTTATGTGTCAATTTCCTAATTGAAAAACACATGGAAACAATTCAGGGTGAAAAGTGACAGCTGCTGGCCTGCTTCTAATGTGAGAAGTAACGTGAGATGACACGTAAAAAACAAACCTTCCAGATTTTGTCCTATAATAAATAGAATAGAATAATACTTTAATGCCTTTTCAGGAATTTGTGTTACATCAGCAGAGCTACTGACACATTAGAGAGATACCAAACATATTTACATAAATTCTTTGATTTAGGTATCTTCACATTTGTTTAAGAGAGATATGGTACTTGGAATAAAGGATATACAGGCTCTCTTAGTTTTCACAATTGGAACTTTGTAGCGGCGGCCTGAAGGGAGGAGGTTGTGTTCCGAATTTAAGTAGTGGGCGGTCAGATATGATTTTGACAGCTTGATTCACGATTTGCCGCTCATATATTGATGATATCGCTGCCACATGACAGTAGTAGGCTGTGTCAGCACTAGTGAAAGTTCAGTGTGCAGCCAGGTCAGTCTGTAGCAAGGTCTGTGGTACATGAGTGGTCGTTGAGTTGTCATGAAGCAGCCAGGTCAGTCTGTAGCAAGGTCTGTGGTACATGAGTGGTCGTTGAGTTGTCATGAAGCAGTTAGGTCAGTCTGTAGCAGGTTGTGTGGTACATGAGAGGTTGTTGAGTTGTCATGAAGCAGCCTGGTCAGTCTGTATCAAGTTGTGTGGTACATGAGTCAGTGAGTGAGTTTAGTTTTATGCCGATTTTAGCAATATTCCAGCAATATCACGACGGGGGACACCAGAAATGGGTGTGGTACATGAGTGGTCGCTAAGTTGTCATGAAGCAGCCAGGTCAGTCTGTATCAAGGTGTGTGGTACATGAGTGGTCGTTGAGTTGTCATGAAGCAGCCAGGTCAGTCTGTATCAAGGTGTGTGGTACATGAGTGGTCGTTGAGTTGTCATGAAGCAGCCAGGTCAGTCTGTATCAAGGTGTGTGGTACATGAGTGGTCGTTGAGTTGTCATGAAGCAGCCAGGTCAGTCTGTATCAAGGTGTGTGGTACATGAGTGGTCGTTGAGTTGTCATGAAGCAGCCAGGTCAGTCTGTATCAAGGTGTGTGGTACATGAGTGGTCGTTGAGTTGTCATGAAGCAGCCAGGTCAGTCTGTAGCAAGGTGTGTGGTACGTGAGTGGTTGTTGAGTTGTCATGAAGCAGCTAGCACTATACCTAGTGTCACTGTACACTTGTCTTCAATCTGTCAACTTCTTGCACATCATGCAAAGGTTTACCCGTTATTATCCATTGTGTAGGGTCACGCCATTGACAGTTTCGGAATTGGAACCCACCTTGTGACCTGCCAGAAGCAGCCTGCACTAGGATGTGTGTTCAAGGTGAGTCGCAGTGTGAGTCCTTGTGGGACTCACTTGTATACCGCTGGGCTGACTTGCACAAAGCGATCTTAGCTCTACAATGATTGTAACTCCCATTCTCCAACATAGGCTTAAGATAGTCGTAGCGCTAAAATCGCTTTGTGCAAGTGGGCCCTGGTCACTAGTGTGAGTATTGACCACTATTGTATAGTGGTGGTCGGATCAATTGAAATAAACGAAGATTGATCGCAATGACCAAGCAATTGATCATGTTTTCTCATAATCGAACACAAACAATTTTGGAACACTTGTTTGCAATAACAATATTTTTCACAAGGTTGGTTTTGTCTGTTACATTTCATAAGCACTACATGCTCGTTCCAAGTCATGAGTGAATTTATCTTAACGACTCCAGGAAATTCATGTTCCTTACATACTAGTTTTCCTTTAAAGATGTACAATTTGCAAATACATTTTGTGCAATTTGCAGAAAAACGAAATAACTGCATGTTCTTTCTTTCTTTTTTGTGCATTAACAAACATTACCAGGAAAATTTGATATATGACGCTAACCAATTACTTTTGATGATTGATTGGTTGTACTGAACCAATCATCAATTATGTGATTTAAACCAATTCCCACAACTACTATTATACCATTATTCACCTTTCGACACCTTACAAGTTGCCTTGGTCACATGCATATCTCGTCATCAGCTGTCTTCCTTGAATGATACTGTAATTCTTCATTCCCTTGAATGCTGCTGTACATTCTGCATTTCCTTGAATGCTACTGTACATTCTGCATTTCCTTGAATGCTACTGAATGCTGCTATACATTCTGGATTTCCTTGAATGCTACTGTACATTCTGCATTTCCTTGAATTCTACTGTACATTCTGCATTTCCTTGAATGCTACTGTACATTCTGCATTTCCTTGAATGCTACTGTACATTCTGCATTTCCTTGAATGCTACTGTACATTCTGCATTTCCTTGAATGCTACTGTACATTCCTCGTAATGCTGCAGTCTTCAAGTCCTCTCTGGATCAGTAGTTACATGTATCTTACTGCATGTGTGTGTTTCAGCTAGTGGAGGTGAACAGCAAGGCACGTATCAAGCTGAGTGAGGACATGGAGAAAGTCACCATCCCTGGCTGCAAGTTTGCATTCCGCCTTTATGGACAAGATGGTGAGATGCTCACAGCAGACAAAACGTACAGGGAACACACACAAACTACACACACAACACATGACCTGCATAGAGAACACACACAACTCACAGTGCCAAAGAACATACACATCCGGTTCAGAATCCATACATTCTACACTGAAGACACACATCCTACAAACACAACATACAACCTTCACAGAAATCACACAAATTACACAGAATTCATACAGCGTAAACAAGACACATATGACTTACACAGAACTCACATTACATAGTGTTGTATGTCCAATCAACAGGCTGGAAATGTAATGTGCTGGTTGATTGTGAGAGTCAGTACGCGATGTTGTATTTCCAGGCAACACACTGGTTGATTGTGAGAGTCAGTAGGCGATGTTGTATTTCCAGGCAACGCGCTGGTTGATAGTGAGAGTCAGTAGGCGATGTTGTATTTCCAGGCAACACGCTGGTTGATTGAGAGTCAGTAGGCGATGTTGTATTTCGAGGCAACACGCTGGTTGATTGAGAGTCATTAGGCGATGTTGTATTTCGAGGCAACGCACTGGTTGATTGTGAGAGTCAGTAGGCGATGTTGTATTTCCAGGCAATGCGCTGGTTGATAGTGAGAGTCAGTAGGCAGTGTTTGTATTTCCAGGCAACGCGCTGGTGGATAGTGAGAGTCAGTAGGCGATGTTGTATTTCCAGGCAATGCGCTGGTTGATTGTGAGAGTCAGTAGGCGATGTTGTATTTCCAGGCAATGCGCTGATTGATAGTGAGAGGCAGTAGGCAGTGTTTGTATTTCCAGGCAATGCGCTGGTTGATTGAGAGTCAGTAGGCAGTGTTTGTATTTCCAGGCAATGCGCTGGTTGATTGTGAGAGTCAGTAGGCGATGTTGTATTTCCAGGCAACGCACTGGTTGATTGTGAGAGTCAGTAGGCGATGTTGTATTTCCAGGCAACGCACTGGTTGATTGTGAGAGTCAGTAGGCGATGTTGTATTTCCAGGCAACGCGCTGGTTGATAGTGAGAGTCAGTAGGCGATGTTGGTATTTCCAAGCAACGCGCTGGTTGATAGTGAGAGTCAGTAGGCGATGTTGTATTTCCAGGCAACGCACTGGTTGATTGTGAGAGTCAGTAGGCAATGTTGTATTTCCAGGCAACGCGCTGGTTGATAGTGAGAGTCAGTAGGCAGTGTTGATATTTCCAGGCAACGCGCTGGTTGATAGTGAGAGTCAGTAGGCAGTGTTTGTATTTCCAGGCAACGCACTGGTTGATTGTGAGAGTCAGTAGGCAGTGTTTGTATTTCCAGGCAACGCGCTGGTTGATTGTCGGAGTCAGTAGGCAGTGTTTGTATTTCCAGGCAATGCGCTGGTTGATTGTGAGAGTCAGTAGGCGATGTTGTATTTCGAGGCAACGCACTGGTTGATTGTGAGAGTCAGTAGGCGATGTTGTATTTCCAGGCAACGCGCTGGTTGATAGTGAGAGTCAGTAGGCGATGTTGTATTTCCAGGCAATGCGCTGGTTGATAGTGAGAGTCAGTAGGCAGTGTTTGTACTTCCAGGCAACGCGCTGGTTGATTGAGAGTCAGTAGGCAGTGTTTGTACTTCCAGGCAACGCGCTGGTTGATAGTGAGAGTCAGTAGGCAGTGTTTGTATTTCCAGGCAACGCGCTGGTTGATTGTGAGAGTCAGTAGGCAGTGTTTGTATTTCCAGGCAACGCGCTGGTTGATCTGATGATGCAGACAGATGAGGAAGAGCCTCAGGTCAACCAGAGGACGCTGTGTCGACATCCATTCCAGGTATATTTAAGAAGTGTAAATGTTTTCATGGACTTTTCATCCTTCAGTTCAGGCAAAATGTCAAGCTACCATCACTAAATACTTTTAACCAAATTACATTAATTTCAAAAGCGTATAATTGTTTGACATTAATGGTGTTTATGGAGAATGTCTTCTTTGCAGATTTTTAGTAAATCAGTTACAAAACATATCATTTGTCAAGGTCATCCCAAGGTCATAACCCGAAGAAACCTGTTTACCAGTTCAGCAACCATTTTCTCTGGGGTTACACTTTCTCAGAGAAGTACCTATTCCAGTGTTTTTGTTGGGCTAAGTCCCATTTGGTGTTTGAAATGGGACTTCACCCCAAAAAGTACTAGAATCTGTACTTTATTGAGAAAGTGTAATCTCAAATATGACCTGTGTAACATTTGACCACTTTCTAAATGGCATTGTGTTTTCGTACCTTTCGGCTGTGGGAGATGTACCAATTCACACTTATCAGAGGGGTACACAAAGTCCATGGTCTAGACTACCAGTTTTCCGATTTCCGATTTTGGGGGGAAGCAGCAGTGGCTGAGTAGGTTTGACATGTGACTTTGACATCCTGTGTAACATGACCACTTCTAAATGGCTTGTGTTTTCGCAGCTTTCGGCCATTAGGTGCCATGCTAGACTACTGGGTGGCTGAGTAGGTTTGACATGTTTTGAAATCCTGCCTCTGCGGTGTGTGGGTTCAAGTATGACTTAATCCCACAAAAGTACTAGAATCTGTACTGAGAAAGTGTAATCCCAAATATAGCATGTGTTAAACCATTTTCTCTGTATGCTTATGAAACTTATACATCTTTGGGACAACAGTTTGGGAAGGTCATAAGTTACCTAAGTTGAAGGTGAAAGTGATTTGTGAGAATGTTTTCCATTTTCAATATCTTGCCTCAATATAATATTTGTGAGTATTGCACAGTTGAACTCTGTCTGGAATGTATGTTCTTTTTTTATATAATATCATATTCAGAAATAGTTTGATGATCTGTGGAGCCTTTGACTCTTTTTTATGTGAACTATTTGGCATTGTTGCAATGCTCAATAGAATATTAATGATGGATTATCAGAACTGAAAATTATTTGCAAAATTTGTTTTTGCTGCCATGTTTGTCATCTCCTCTTTTCATTCATCATACCTTTCTCTGTCTTCACTGCATTTAGAATTAATGAAAAATTAATTAAAAACAAATTAATTTTTCCTTATCCTGACTCATGCTATAATGGCTTATCTCCCTTCCCTTTCAACAGTTACGTGGAAACTTGAATCACACGTGTGGAGCCCCACTTTCCGGTCGAAAGTCCGCCCACGTGGCTCAAACCATGCTCTCATCACTCACTCCCTCATCGTCAAAGCGGACGGTTTGGCGGTTTCCTGGGTCCCTTTTATGGCTGATATCCATTTATCTTTAGGCCAAATCTTCAAATTGAGGCCGTGCATTGTATTTCAAGACCTTCTATTATCATAACATTGTATTTATTTTCACTCCATTTCAGGTCACTGTTTTTACATGGTGGCATGTAAACAATGCAGGCTACGCATCTCAGCGGCTGATCCACACCCTGTGTGATCTTCTTGCATGAACACTTTGTGTTCTTTGGTCTCACCACAGGGGCGTGTCACGCTTAAAAACAGCGTTAGAAAGACACATAGGTATATAGACCCTACCCTAGTACTATATAAAAGGTAAGGGATGTAACGACGAAACCACCCCTCCTCAATCAAAGTTAGATTTCACCAAGTAAAATATTTTTAAGGCCCCGCCGAGGCCTACAGATCGGGAGCTAGATGATTTTCCTACAAAAAGTGCCATAAATGGTCACAATCGGATCATGATTTCAAAAGTTATTTGCCACAACCACAGCTACCTCTGCAATTCTACGCCAAAATCATGGATCACCCAAGACAGCGAAAACTTACCTTTTAAATTCGTTTATTAATTCCAGGCACGTTGACAGCACCTGTGTTGGACAGTAAGCTGGCATTTCCTCCAAAATCACTGGCGGTCCTACTCACTTGTTGGCCATAGATGACCTTTGACTGAGGAGGGGGTGGTTTCATCGTTACATCTCTTTCCTTTTATATGGTACTAGGGTAGGGTCTATATACCTATGTGTCTTTTTAACGCTGTTTTTAAGCGTGACACGCCCCTGTGGGTCTTATGTTGTATATATTGTGCACATTTATCAGAATTTGCATTTAATAAATATTTATTATCTCATTTACGCAAGACTATGGACAAATGTAGGCGTGACAGCAGGGTCTCTGCTGAAAAGGACGTTTCCCAGTCATCTGAACCTGAGTTGTCTCCTCTAATAAGCTCCAGGAATGTAAGTATTCCCTTGTCTGCTATTTCCTTGGAGTCTCCCTCCAGGGGTTACTCCCATCTCTGCCCCTCAAGTCTCCTCTTAGGGAGGGGTTTGATCTACAGAAGCTGAAGAAGAAGTCATCACCATCTTCGAGGTCATCGACATGGAAGCAGTCGTCGTCAAAGTCATCGTTGTCGAGGTCATCATCATCGGTCTTCCCGCTCTTCGAGATCTTCGAAGTCAACGAAGCCTGGTGCCAAAGTACATTCGTTTGCAAACGATCTGACGCCCACTGACGAAGCAGACAATTCATCCTACTCACAGCCCGCGGTTCTCGAACCTCAAGTTGTTGTGAGGGTTACACGGCATATGACTACAACCAGCTCTACAGGGTTCGTGAATCCTTCCACGCAGCCAACATCAGCGCCTGCAGTCTAGCAGCAGTGCTTTAGTCAACCCATAAGCGTTCGCAAACGCTACCCTGTCTCCGGCTTCATACGGTCGTCTTAGCGAATCATCTACTACTTCATGGCATTTAATGGTAGCTTCCGCGCAACCCCTCAATCAGCAGGACCTCGTAGCCAATATCACCAGGAAGGTGGTCATGGCGATGCAGCAGTATTTATCTATGGAACTCTAGTGTCCCCTCAGCCACTCTACACCTGCGGTATCCTGTGGAGACTCCATCCAGGGTGAAGCCCTGGCATCGGACCACATCATCCAGGAGGATCCAGACCCATCCATCATTAATGACACTGAGGTATTAGAATGGATCGCTGATGGCCTGCCGATATCATCTCCAACCCATGACTCCAAATTGGCGGACACCTACTGCATCAGAGATGACGACATCGACACCCTGACGATTCCCCGATGAAGCCGATTTCGTAGATCCCAGACAACCTTAAGATAGCTTTCGCGAAGGCTACAAAGTCACAACTTGACACGACCACTAGAAGGGCATTCTTCGGTCTTGCAAGATCCAGTACCATCAACGAAGTGATGATCAACACCTTGCAGAATCCGAAGACTGACCAGGAATGGATGTTCCTGTCAGCGCTCGTCACTCAAAGGAAGGACGAGGAATTCATCTCCAACCACCTCGCACCTGAGAATTATCCGGCATCCCGGGGTGGCAAGTCGCACAACTTTCGTCACTCAACCGACGCTTCCAGAGCTCACTCCAGTAGAGGTAGCTTCTCCGGCTACTCCCGGTCATCTCACCAGTGAAGTTCAGGTTTGGAATGACTGGTCTGTTCCACCTCCAGCCGTTCCTGTGCAACCGTCAACTGTGGGTGGACATGAAGGCTACAACTGGGAGAAGTGGAGACTACTAGAAGACAACTATGTCGTTCAAGTGCTGCGTGAGGGGTACCATATCCAGCTCAAGGCGACGCCTCCACTCACCGTCAACCCGCAGGTGCACAGACACCCGAGTAGAACTCCAAAGAGAAGTTCTGCCTCATCTACAACATGAAGCATTTCAACCAAGACTACTTGCTGAAGTTCAAGATGCTGCATTTACCATAACTGCGACATCTCATCAGACCCAATGACTACCTAGCCAGCATCGATCTGCAAGACACCTACCTGCACATCCAATACATCTGGCCTCGAGGAAGTATCTGCAATTTGATGTATCAACATTGCCAGTGGAGGGTCCTCCCCTTTGGAATTTCCTCGACCCCGTGGCCATATAGTAGGGGTGGGTATTGTAGAGAATTTTCATATTGTGATATATTGGGATGCGAGAGCATATATTGAGATATGTATTGCAATATATTGCAAGAAGTTTGTTTGTTTTTTAACAAAAACTACTTATAATCAAGTTAATGCTTGATTTAGCAAAAATACAACAAAATCACTATGCTTGTTTGGCTTTATTAAAATCTTTTAATGATGGCAAAATAAAAATGTAAATAATGTTAGGCACAAATGAAACAAGGAAAGGAACGATTTAAGAAACGGAAATATCCGAGGATTTCCGAGTGTTACGAAGTTTTCCAAATGCATGTCAAAGTACCAGTTTTCGATCAGCGTATCGCAATACTATCGTGTTCATGTCTGAACTGGTAAATACCGGTAAACTGGTTATATTGCGCAGCCTTACTATATACACATGCCCATCGTTGTGTATCTACATCAGGGGGGACTTCGCAGTGACTTCTACCTAGATGACGGCATCCAGTGCATCAACTAGCAGATCAACTCAGACGTCAACTGCAGTTTATGATTCATCTCCTGACGCAGCTGGGCTGGCTAGTCAACCACATGAAGTCGGAATTAGAGCCATCACTGGATCTGCAGTTCCTCACCACGAAGAATTGCATCACTGTACCAGAAAACTGGTGGTCAAGCATCCAGGCGTGTCTGCCAGCTGCTCTCAACTCACCACTACTGATAAGAGCGTGGCAAGGACTCCTAGGCCTCCTCACATCAGCACAGACTCTCGCTCACAAAGGAAAATTGCAGCTACATCCGCTACAACGCTTCCTCAGGCCTCAGACTCTTGAAGATCCGGGGTAGAATAGGTCTTCAGCAACCCATGCTTGCCACAAACGGCGGCCATGCTTGTCGTAAGAGGTGACTGACGGGATAGGGTGGTCAGGCTCGCTGACTTGGTTGACACATGTCATCGGTTCCAAATTGTGCAGATCGATGCTCATGCTGTTGATCACTGGTTTGTCTGGTCAAGACTTGATTATTTACAGACCGCCGCCATATGGCTGGAATATTGCTGAGTGCGGCGTAAAACTGAACTCACTCACTCACTCCTCAGGCCTCATCTCGACAGTCTGCAGAGGGTCACCATCCCTCAGCACCTGAAGTTGTATCTACTCTGGTGGACAGACAGGTCGAATGTCTGCGGTGGAATCTATTTGCAAGAGCTGGCCTACAACATTCATCACTTCATGGATGCATCTCTACAAGGATGGGGAGCGCAAATCAGGAATCTGGTTGCCAGAAGGAAGGGTTCTACAAATAAACCAGCCGGAATTCAAGGCGGTCATCAAGGCAGTCCTTATGATCCACAACGACAACTCAACAGTAGCCTTCTACATAAACCTACAAGGCTCAACGAGATCAGCGCCACTGCTACAACTGACGATCCAGCTCTTCAACCTAACAGATGACCTCAACCTATGGATAAAGGCCTGCCACATTCCAGGGGCGAAGAACATCTTAGCCGATGCCTTATCCAGACCGGTCCGACCATCACCCACAGAGTGGATGCTGCACCTGGAAGCATTCCAGCTGCTGACCGAAGACCAAGGCTGTCCCCTCATAGATCTGTTTGCGACACGTTTCAGTCACCAAATTGCGATGTTTGTCTCACTGGTACCAGATCCTCAAGCCTGGGCTGTCAACACTCTAACCATATCATGGGAGGGAGTGAACGCATACGCGTTCCCACCGCCGATACTGCTACTACAAGTTCTACACAAGATCAACCAGACCAAAGTCCTACGACTGATTTTGGTCGCACCTTACTGGCCAGCGAGAACCTGGTTTCCAGACCTAATACAGCTCCTGGGAGAACCAACGCTGCGTCTTACCAGGTTGGCCGAATCTACTGATCCACCCTTACACAAGGCAACCTCACGGCAATCCAGGAGGGCTCCAGCTACACTCATGCAATGTATTATGCACTGCCTGAAGAGAAGAGGGTACTCCACCAGAGCAGCCAAGCCAGTTACACTGGCCTTAGGACGATTAACTCGGAACCTCTATGATGATAAGTGTAAGAGTTTTGACCAGTTTGCTGCACGCAAGGTTTTTTTCGGCCATGAAAGCTACACATCCGCAAGTGGTTGAGTACCTATGTCACCTGAGAGCTACTAGACACCTGAAGGGATCTACACACTTGACATACTTGGCAGCGATGAGCTCTGTGCTCACCATGAATACGTGAGTCAAGCTCACCAAAGTACCTGAACTCGTCACTCTACTGAAGTCTTTTAAGCCTGAAGACCAGCAGCAGAAGTTTAGAGCTCCAGTCTGGGACCTCAACGTAGTGCTGCAACAGCATGAGCATGAGCCACTGAGACACACCATTTTGTTAACTCAGAAGACGCTGTTCCTCCTCGCCTTAGCTACAGCTGCTCAGATGTTAGAGATACATGCCATCAACTACGGACGAACCGGATTTGACTCCAGGGGGCATGCTGCTGTCCACCTGGGACTTAGATGGGACTTCATAGCGCAGAATCAGCTATCAGGTCAGCCTGATAGACAATTCCACATCCCAGCATTATCTATGATCCTCGGACCAGATGATACACAAGACCTGTCCCTGTGCCCAGTCAGAGCCTTAAAGATCTACTTATAACGGACTGCTACAATTAGGACAAAGTTCAAGCGTCTCTTCATCCCACTATCACCTGCCACGACTATTGAATCTCCAGAACAACTATCTCGTTTGGGATCAGAACTGTCATCCTATGTTCTTACAGAGCACCAGGGCTGGATCCTCCAAGAGCCTCCAATCCACACAAAGTTAGAGCATTAGCCTTGACACTCGCCCTACATGGGAATTGCTCTTTATCGTCCATCATGTCCATCATGGAAGGCTGCTTCTGGAAGTCGGACACTGTGTTCGCCAACCATTATCTTTGGGATATCGCTACAAAAGATGTATCTGGTATCCACCATTTCGGACCAGTTGTAGTAGCGCAACAGATCAAGGTTTCAGCCAGATGATTTCACCCTTATCACGTTGACTTGTTGACGCCAGGCAGAGAGTCCATGTTCCCCTGTCTTACAAGATAATCAGCGCATGAGTGATCTTGACTCGGTTTCGGTAATAGTCCTTACCTTAACATATGGGTCGCAATTCAGTTTCGGTAATAGTCCTTACCTTAACATATGGGTCGCATTTCAGTTTCGGTAATAGTCCTCTATGAAATCTATACGATTTACTTCTTTTTTGGATGTAAGAGAAGGTGGTCCTCTGATAATCATCAGGATGTTTTGGCTGCAGTAGAAGAATCTCGTAAGAAGAGTTCCCAGGGGATACATGATCAGATGCATTCTTGACAGTCACAGTGAATCCCGGAAGGTGGCTGACCCACTGACTAATTCCGTGGGATTTGGTAAGCAATTATAGCTTGAGTCAGGAAGGAAAAATATGTAATTTTTATGATAAAATTTATATTTTATACTTATCCTGACTCATGATCTGAAGGGTCCTCCCAACCGCCCCCTCTCATCACTACAGGCTTCACTCTAGGTCCAAGAGTGATGAGAGCATGGCTTGAGTCATGCCGGCGGACTTTTGGCAGGAAAGTGGGGCTCCAAAAGGGTGAGCAATTTGACTGTTCTTGGCAACAAAGGGATTCAAGTTTCCATGTAACCGTCGAAAGGCAAGGGAGATAAGCAATTATAGCATGAGTCAGGATAAGTATAATGTCAATTTTATCATACAAATTTTATTTTTGTTGTGTTGCAGGAATCTAAGCGAGCATATGTAAGCCCCGCCAAAGTGGAGAGACTCCACAAACTATATTGGGATAATGGGAAGGTAAGATTCCATCTCTGTCTCTCTCTGCCTCTCTACCATCCTGACAATACTGTTTCACTCATGTTTCATTTTACAATTTAAAATGTCACTGAACCAACTGGCCAGTGAATAGTTTTGGCTTCTGGTTGATACCCATAATTCAAGATTCATGATACACATTGTATAACCAGTTTGTAGGTGTGAATGGCAGCAGCAGTGGAAGGTGTCCTGGTTGATGATATGCTCTATATCAGCAGATTGTAGGTGTGAGTGGCAGCAGCAGTGGAAGGTGTCCTGGTGGATGATACGCTCTATATCAGCAGATTGTAGGTGTGAGTGGCAGCAGCAGTGGAAGGTGTCCTGGTTGATGATACGCTCTGTATCAGCAGATTGTAGGTGTGAGTGGCAGCAGCAGTGGAAGGTGTCCTGGTTGATGATACGCTCTGTATCAGCAGATTGTAGGTGTGAGTGGCAGCAGCAGTGGAAGGTGTCCTGGTGGATGATACGCCTCTATATCAGCAGATTGTAGGTGTCCTGGTTGAGTGGCAGCAGCAGTGGAAGGTGTCCTGGTGGATGATACGCTCTGTATCAGCAGATTGTAGGTGTGAGTGGCAGCAGCAGTGGAAGGTGTCCTGGTTGATGATACGCTCTGTATCAGCAGATTGTAGGTGTGAGTGGCAGCAGCAGTGGAAGGTGTCCTGGTTGATGATACGCTCTGTATCAGCAGATTGTAGGTGTGAGTGGCAGCAGCAGTGGAAGGTGTCCTGGTGGATGATACGCTCTGTATCAGCAGATTGTAGGTGTGAGTGGCAGCAGCAGTGGAAGGTGTCCTGGTGGATGATAGGCTCTGTATCAGCTTTTAGGTGGAGTGGCAGCAGCAGTGGAAGGTGTCTATCAGCAGATTTTAGGTGTGTGGCAGCAGCAGTGGAAGGTGTCCTGGTGGATATCATCAGCAGATTGTAGGTGTGAGTGGCAGCAGCAGTGGAAGGTGTCCTGGTGGATGATACGCTCTGTATCAGCAGATTGTAGGTGTGAGTGGCAGCAGCAGTGGAAGGTGTCCTGGTGGATGATACGCTCTGTATCAGCAGATTGTAGGTGTGAGTGGCAGCAGCAGTGGAAGGTGTCCTGGTGGATGATACGCTCTATATCAGCAGATTTTAGGTGTGAGTGGCAGCAGCAGTGGAAGGTGTCCTGGTGGATGATACGTGTGCAGCAGTGGCAGCAGCAGGTGTGAGTGGCAGCAGCAGTGGAAGGTGTCCTGGTGGATGATCACGCTCTGTATCAGCAGATTGTAGGTGTGAGTGGCAGCAGCAGTGGAAGGTGTCCTGGTGGATGATAAACCTGGTGGATGCTCTGTATCAGCAGATTGTAGGTGTGAGTGGCAGCAGCAGTGGAAGGTGTCCTGGTTGATGATACAGCAGCAGCAGCAGTGGAAGGTGTCCTGGTGGATGATACACAGCTCTGTATCAGCAGATTGTAGGTGTGAGTGGCAGCAGCAGTGGAAGGTGTCCTGGTGGATGATACGCTCTGTATCAGCTCTAGGTATCAGCAGATTGTCCTGGTGTGATGATCAGCAGATTGGCAGCAGCAGTGGAAGGTGTCCTGGTGGATGATACGCTCTGTATCAGCAGATTGTAGGTGTGAGTGGCAGCAGCAGTGGAAGGTGTCCTGGTGGATGATACGCTCTGTATCAGCAGATTGTAGGTGTGAGTGGCAGCAGCAGTGGAAGGTGTCCTGGTTGATGTCCTGGTGGAAGGTGATGATACAGCTCTGTATCAGCAGATTGTAGGTGTGAGTGGCAGCAGTGGAAGGTGTCAGTGGAAGGTGTCCTGGTGGATGATACGCTCTATATCAGCAGATTTTAGGTGTGAGTGGCAGCAGCAGTGGAAGGTGTCCTGCAGATTTTAGGTGAGTGGTGGAAGGTGTCCTGGTGGATGATACGCTCTGTATCAGCAGATTGTAGGTGTGAGTGGCAGCAGCATATGAAACGTATTTGTCCCTGTAAGCCTTTATAATTTCATTTTTCTGATGTAAAGCAAATATGTTCCCCCTCCACCAAATATCACAATTTCCTGCAAACAGGTGGCTCAACCATTGCCCTCACTAAAAGAAATCCGTGATTCAGCAGAATCATCCCTAAATTCCATACGACAAGACCACAAGCGAGCCCTTAACCCTACTCCATACAAGGTAAGACACTGTGCAGCCATATGTGACTAACACTTTTGAGGTAATGCCAGAAGTGACCTTTAGTTTGGCAATTGGAAAGTTTGCATGATCACTCTACAAGGCAGAAGTCAGCTTGTACAAGTATCATATGAATGTTATTTCTCTTGGTGTAATAATCTGATTTTCCAGTCAAAAAAGTCCGCAATTGTGGTTTACAATAGGACTATTTGAAGATATTCCTCTAACACTGACACTAACCACTAATTACATTTGCTGCAGCTTTCAAAATATGGGTGGAGAGGTACCTAGTGGTTAAAGCATTTGCTCTTCACACCAACAGCTATGGTTGGATTCCCAAACATGTACAGTGTCTTAAGCCATTAGTTCCTTTGATTTCCCTACCTCTATTGTGTCATACATCAATTAGAGGATGTCTGTTGTGAACCGTGAACATTTTCTGTTGTGATGGACAGTCAAAACAAGAATATGTGACTATGTATGAAGGTATGTAGGTAAACTCTTCAAAAAAAGCAACGCAAAAGGCATTATTTGAGACAAATTGTGAACAAGTTTATTCCGGGTAGTTCTGTATGACATTTGTGAAACTTTGCACATGCACTGAAGAACATCCAAAGTCTGCAAATGTGAAGTCCACGGTCACAAGGTGAAGTTTAACGTCACTCAATGTCAATAACGAGTATGCCCCCCGTGAGCATCGATAACTGCTTGGCATCTCCTGCCCATGGAAGCGATGAGATGACGAATCACATTCTGTGGAATGGCTGTCCACTCAACCTGCTAAGCTGCTGCAAGCTGAGGTAGAGTCTGCAGTTGAGGTTGTCGCCGTCGCAGACGTCGGTCCAACTCGCCCCAAAGATGTTCAATGGGGTTTAAATCTGGTGATCTGGAGTGCCAGGGAAGAACGTTGATATTGTGGTTTCTCAAGAAGGCAGTGGTGAGTCGAGCTGTGTGAAGATGGGCGTTGTCCTGCTGAAAACGTCGTTGACATTCACTATGATGGGTTGCACATGGGGCCTAAGAATCTCGTCAACGTATTGTTGAGCCGAAAGATTCCCTCGAATAAGCACAAGGTCTGTTCTGGCATTGTAGGCGATTCCAGGCCACATCATGACACTACCACCACCAAATCTGTCAACTGCACACAGTTTGCTGCAAAACGTTCACCTCGCCTACGGCAGCCCTGGTATGGATGAGGTAGTAGACGTCGCAGTGGTGGTCCTATCCCGAAGGTGACGTAACCGGATGTAGCGATCTTGTGCGGGCGTGGTCACATGAGGTCTGCCGGATCTGGGACAGACACGAGTGATCCATGTTGTTGGTGACGATTCCATAGCCTTGTGATGGTGCTTGGGTGGACATTCACAGCTCTGGCAACATCTGATCGAGATTCACCTGCTTCCAAGCAACCAATGGCGTTGTTGCGTTGTGCTTCATTCATGCACATGTATTAGTTGATAGGTTGAGTTTCCATCCTCGTTTTTGCCTAAATCCGTTGTGCCTCTCTGCCTAGCGAAGTGTGACAAAGAACTTGGATTCGCCGGCTAGACGTTGAGCACACCTTGGTATAGTGCAAAGTTGTCTAGTTATATGCTGGACTAGACTGTATTGCGTGTCAGTGGCTTAACTCATTAAGGCCGAGAGACATATATGGGGCAAATTAATCAGCTCCTCACAGCGAGTGACGTGTTTATGGGGCAGGTAATTAGCAGTGTCTCACAGCGAGAGCCACATACAGTCGTCAACAGAGAGCACCTCTTATTCAGCGAGAGACGCACATGTGTGTTGTACTTTTAAAAATCGCACTGTACCTATTATTTCAACCAATTTAGCAGTACTGAGCAAATGTTAGCTTTTCTTACGAGAGATCCCACCTTCAGTATCAATCAGAAGAAGTATTTAAAGTGTTTTGATAACAATTGCTAATCATTATCATAGGCTTGTACAGCGTTTAGCAAATGAACGCATGTCGGCGAGAAAGGGGATTATGATGTTTTTACAGAGGTAAGTGCCTGGTACTCTTCCTTGGGAATGGATACTAAAATACTTCGTGTGCACCTTGATTGAATTAGATGTAATGGTGACGAGGTTACTAAAAATTATATTTCCTTCAACTACCTAATAAATAGGAAACAATATACGAAATTTCAAGGACATACAAAGAATTCAAACACAATAGAATAGTTTGAATTTACTTTTTAGGCATCATTACGTTGTCATGTTTCATATACTGAAACATAATGTATAAACACAAGTAATTATACATCCAAGCTCGAATAGATTAAACATAATTGAACTTACTAATTGGAAGTTTACTGAATTGTAACTAGTTGTTTTCCATAATCTTAAGTTCGTAATGTTACCTAAGCGAATATAAAGTGATAAGTAGCGCCTTTGCATCGAATACATATATACATGTCAGTGTTATTACAACAATGAAATGTTTTACTACGTTTGTTACAAAAGACAGTAAGTTGGTAATTCAAAACATTGTCACACATGGACAGAAGTAATATCATAAGTTATTACATGTAAGCCATACAAAGGTATTTCAAGCATTTTTGTTCAAGCTGTTGAAAGTTTCATGTTGATTTGAATTGTCAGTTTTCTATGCAATTTACATGAGCATCCTGTAAAACGTTTGTATTTGATCTGTGTAATTATCAAATCCGGTGCAATTATCACGTGTATCAATCAACTCAGTCTCTATTGATCCATCGTCAATAAAAGCTGGATAGTATATCAGTTACGGTATCGATACACATGCGTATAATCATTCAAGCAGATTACAGTAATGAGATAATTGAACGCCTTGAAATAACAGTCTCCGGTAGAATGCATATGTAGTTACGTCCTTGTTGAAAGGTTTGTCCCGTGACAAGTGTAAAATAAACAGATGCGCTGTTATATCATTGGACATCTTGCTTTATGGAGTCACGCCCCTCTCTGTGATGTTTATACATGCATGCACATCTGTAATCTTATGAACCTCGTTTGCATTGAGTAAAGATATAGGCACGCCCACCTTCATAAATATTGGGGGTGGGGGTGTCAACTGCAAGTTTATACACTATAATAATTCAGTATAGTGTCACCTCGTGAATTCTGTAATGCGTGTACTCTAGTTTGGATAGTCATTCGTATCAAGGTGAAGATTATATTTACATGTACAGCAAACCATTATGTTTTATGTACTAGTTGTGTGCATAAAATGTATATGAAAATAAATACTACCTCTACTCAGTGGTTGGATTTCAATCGCTTTGTTTTACTTATCGAAAAACACTAAAATGAGGACAAATAAACTCGCCAAAGTGACTATCTACACCTATTTGTCTTATGTGTATATTTCATACATCATTACCAGTGTGTATGTTTACAATACACAAACTGTTACATGATAGCTTGAGTTGATAAAGCCGAAACCCAGCATATCGACTGGTCAAGGATATAGCCAATAACCAATCTCTATCAAGCTGCTGAGTGACCAAGCGTGCTCTTCAGAAGTTTCGCACCACCCGTCACCTGTCCTTTCCTCTGTGACAGGTATCTCATGATACGATTGGTCGCAGATAACATATGACCAGCCACTATACTGAACAGTTGAGATACCAGTGTGTATGTTTAAAATACACAAACTGTTACATGATAGCTTGAGTTGATAAAGCCGAAACCCAGCATATCGACTGGTCAAGGATATAGCCAATAACCAATCACTATCCAAGCTGCTGAGTGACCAAACGTGCTCCTCAGATATTTTTCACCCCGCCCCATCACCTGTCCTTTCCTCTGTGACAGGTATCTCATGATATCTGATTGGTCGCAGATAACATATGACCAGCCACTACATTGAACAGTTGAGATACCCGAGCGTTCTATTAGGAAATTTGATGGCAGCCCTATCACGTGACTCTTTGTTTTATGTCTATGCAAGGAATATGTAGTATACATTTTGTATATGTATGTTTGTATGGTCAATGTATGTTTTCTGCATTAAATCTGTATGAAATAAAGTGCAATGCTATGAATGTGCTCTGTGCTAGTCACCGACTTGCGTTATAGTACTTTCATTAAAATAATTCAGTAAACACTAGAAATGTATTGGCAAAACTGCTATTTTAAATTAGAAGATTATAAAGTATGAAAGTAAATTCTTCTTTACAGTATGTCATTGTCATAGATGTTTTGTAAATTTAAACCTCACACAATGATATAAGAGAGAGAATTTGTTAACGTGTGTCTCATCTGTTACATACTAAGAATACATGTGTATGCATATTGTGATAAAATATAAATGTACAAGCCGACAAAAGGTCTACAAGAGAAACTTGCAATAAAATTACATAAAGCTTGCAATACACGACATGTATTCACACCTGATTTCTTTCAACATATATCTTTGCGACACAATTAAACAATCAGGACTTGTTTGTACGACTAGACAGTTTCCTGTGATCCCCGAAACCTGCCAGGGAAATCAGGTGTGACTAGCACTAATTAGTCTCGGCACAGAGAGTGGGCAATCAGCGAGGGCTTCCAGGTGTTGAGTAGTGATGGGGTCTCGGGCTTAATGAGTTAACACTGAGCTGTGGAAACCGAAAACCCATCACTTTTATAGGGATTTTGCTCATGTTGCACATGCAGAACATGAAGATCTCTCAAACAAATTTATTGGACACGAATCATGCGTTTTGGCAAAAAATTCGATGTTTTCATCTGTTTTCACAGTGGACATCTTGTATTGTCATTTTTTTCTGACAATCAGTGCCTCAACACGTGTAACATCACATACTATGAGCTTGTAACGTTATTACATATATTTCTCTTTAAAATTAAATAAAATATCCCGTTTGCATTTTTTTTTTTTTTGAAGAGCATAATATTCTTAGAATTATGTACAGTTATAACTACCAGGTATTGTTTAATTTTTGGTGTACCTTGCTGTAGCATTACTGGACTATGGCTAAAAGCAGTGTAAAATCCAATGCATTTAAAAATAGTTTACCACTTCCGGACTAAAGTTTTAACTAAACAATGAATGTCTGACATTGATGTAACTGAAAAGGAACCGTGATTGTATTCTGATTGGTTGTTGCAGGTTTCTGTGTCGGCCAACCTGTACACGTTCATCCATGATCTGTGGCTGGAGAGTGCTCCAATAGGAGAACTGTCCTAGACATCTCCCAACAATGTCAGATTGGAAGGCTTCTGAAGAGCCTATTCTACTGTTGTCAGACACCCATGTTTTTGTCACATCTCTGAGCCCTCCTGATGTACCTTTATTTCCTCTTTCTTAGCCATGTGAATTTGTTGGTTGATTCCACAGTTATTGTTGAGCTTCCAGGTCATAGGCTGCCATCCAGTGGAAGGCTCTAGGAGTAATTAATAGTTGTCATGGTGGCCAGCTTGTAGCTGTGGCCTATTTGTGCCCACTAATTCCTTACGTTTGTACTAATGTGTTGGTTTGACATGTGTAGATGTTGCCAAGCACTATACATCATGTATCCAGGGACTTATATTGATGCATTCAGAGAGCTACACACAATGTCTAGAGATGTGATAAGAATATGTTTGCAGATTTTTTAAACATACAAATCTCAATAACTTGGAAGCCTTACAGTTTTAAGATGCAATTCTTAGAACCGTCAGTGATATATTGTTTTATGATATACAATTTTTATGATGTTATGATCTTATTTGATAATATATATTTTATGGATTTATGGATTGTATATTTACATGGACTAGGTTATATTAGATGTTGCTTGTCAGGGTTGGGTGGAAGTGTCCGAGGAACATGGCAATAATTTCTACATATGTCTTTACTGGGATAATGCTATCATACATGTACAGACTATCAGTCAACTATTATTCCGTGAGAATAATGTTCCCTAATCCTACTGGTCAGGACCATGCTGTGTCATTAATGGTCACTCTACAAGGTTTTATGTACATTTATGTACAGGTTTAATGTAGTGAGCTAACCACCTCCTGTCAATAGTACACAGTCTATTTACAAAAGATTAAATTAGTAAATATAGCAGATGAAGCGGTATTCAACTATATCCAGTGTAGTAGATTTCCTTTGGAAGAGAGAGAGTCTGATTCTGTGTAAGCAGCTGGAGTCAGCTGTTGGATGATGGTGATGGTGATATCTTGTAGGAAAAGAGGTTATATTAAAGGGGCACCAGTGTAGACGTCATCTAAGCAGCCTGACACTACCACCTGGGTCTAATTAGCTCACTAGGTGTGAGACATGAGGCTGGGCTACTATCTGTTAGGATAGTGGACATAAACTTTGAGACAATATTTATATGCATATACATGCATCAAATGTCATGTGATAATTAATTTCTTCAACCTAATCAAGCAGACAAAGGAAAGTAGGATGCCATTCTGATGCCGTTATTTGGAAATATCCCTGATGGTTCTAGTCTGGTGTTAATAAAGAATCCCAGCAGTGCAAGCATTTTTTTAATTTCCGATGCGTGGATGGTATGATGGTTGATCTTATTGGATCCCAAGTCTGTGTTTTGTAACTTGATATTGCATCATGTCATGAAATAATGTCATGTCCATTGACCTATAATATTCAAAACACACACATGCCATGAACTAAATCACCAAAAACGTTCATCAAAGGTTTAAACTATAATATATTGATTGATTAATCACTCTTATCTAGCACTGTGATTTTTTCAACAACAGTTAGTGTAGGATTACATATACAGACAGAATACACTTATATTCTGTTATAAGGTGCCTGTTCAAAGGGTGAACCAATAGTACTTTGATTGATTGCTGATTGTTGTCTCACTAAATGATTTCTTAAAGAACTGTGGACATCATGAAAATAGTTGTCACCATGCTATCTCACGCCGAAGACCGAGGTTCGATTCCCCACATGGGCATCTTTCTGGTGTCCCCCGCCATGTGATATTGAATATTGCAAAAGTGAGACTACACCAGCGTGAACAACCTGAAACATAGTTCAGTGACCATTTGAGAAACTGTCAAAAGTTGTAATATCCCAAAACATTATATATATTTTTCAATATTTGATTGTAAAGACATGTGACATGGAACAAACGTATTTGTCAGCTGCAGATATATGGGATATTGTTCCTTAAAGCGGATACTACGGATACATTCAAACAAGGTAACTACCTGATATTATTCATGTATCTTTTGTCGGTGGTAATTTAGGATAGTTGCATTTTGTTTTCATTCATTTGTTGTAGCATTGAACAGAACCCTTTCCACTTCATTTCCATTATCATTGGAAATTGTTTCCATGCAATACAACACTATGTTGTTATTTTCGCAAGCCTTGTCATTGTTGCAGTGTATATGTAAAATACAATTCACTTTAGAAGTTTATGAAATGCCCCAATATTACAGTCATTTTACAAATTCACTAATAAAAACAGTGACTTTTTTTTGGTATGAAGTTCCAAAGTGCATAAAATCAATAACAGATTAATTGTGCTTGGATTATAAGCCAAAAAGTTTTATAGACATACATTGACTTCCATTTTCTTTCAATCCTAACGCTTCTAGTCACTGGGAGATTAAACTTCAAAATGTTTTGAATTGTTATAATAAACTAGGTGGACATATTTTGCAGCCAGTTTGTGAAATTTCTGAAATATTAAGAGGTTACAAAGATGAATACATTTCCCACTTAATTCTAAGACAAAACTTTTGTTCATCTTTGTTAATGTGAGGATATATTACCAACTGCACTTTCGTGTGGCGCAGCAGAGGTCGGCAGCCAGTCAAGAATTATGAAATACCATCTGGGTACGCATGGGAAAAATATCAATAATAAAAACAACAACCAGACCAAGGGAATTGCTCTTCATCAGTGCCCCTTTAAATGTGGAAAATTTGCCTCCTCTACAGAAGCTAAATAAACTCATTCAAGTCATATGCGACCAACAAGCCTCTAACTAGTATGAAAAAGTATGTTTGTAAGTGATTTATTTAAACCTCAGTGAAGGTTGATTGTGTCATATGCATAATAAAAGCCACTGCCAGTCTCTGATGTCCTCGTGTTCTGTGTAAGTCTGGACGCTGTCCACCCACAACATCCCGCAAGGCACCCACAGGGCTACTTCATATCTAGGGGTGTTCACTGACACGTTCATGTCCTCATGTGTTCTGTGTAAGTCTGGACGCTGTCCACCCACAACATCCCGCAAGGCACCCACAGGGCTACTTCATATCTAGGGGTGTTCACTGACACGTTCATGTCCTCATGTGTTCTGTGTAAGTCTGGACGCTGTCCACCCACAACATCCCGCAAGGCACCCACAGGGCTACTTCACATCTAGGGGTGTTCACTGACACGTTCATGTCCTCATGTGTTCTGTGTAAGTCTGGACGCTGTCCACCCACAACATCCCGCAAGGCATCCACAGGGCTACTTCATATCTAGGGGTGTTCACTGACACGTTCACAGCCTCACATAGTAGGAATTGCCAGTAGTGACAGGTTTTCTTGTGGACAGTACATGCTGTCAGAGAGCAATCACAAAACCTGGAGTCCACTGAGCAGACTGTTTGCTTGTGTGGAATATTAGGAATTTGAGGAACGTGCAGTGATCAAGTTGTTGTGGACGTACTTCTATGACATCATGTAGTGTCCACATGATAAACATTTCACTGATATGAAATTCTTTCTTTGAGAGACTCAGAACTTGTCAATCAATTGTTGTATAATGTACTGACTGTGTACAATATACGTTACATGTATGTTTTACTAAACATCTGCAATGTACCATGAACATGTCAATCAATTGTTGTATAATGTACTGACTGTGTACAATATACCTTACATGTATGTTTTACTAAACATCTGCAATGTACCATACACTTGTATTGTATTTAACATCTTGATTGTACTATTTCGCTAACATTATATCTGTGAACTTATATTTTTATGAGCTTGTCCAAATGTCTGAAATCATTTTAAGTGTTTGCTATGTATGTGTGCCATTCTGTGATGGAAAGATGTAATATACAGCTGTATTAGTATACATTATAAGTTGTATGCTTCTCTGGAGGGTAATACGGTCTGATGTACGCCTTTTTGTAGCAGTGTCACCCGAGCCGGTAGGCGAGGGATGACACTGCTACAAAAAGGCGAGGGATGACACTGCTACAAAAAGGCGTACATCAGACCGTATTACCCTCCAGAGAAGCATACAACGTATTTATCTTACCGCTGTGTTAAATGTACAAAACATCATTTTATTTTATGTTAAAGGTCGCAACCGACTGTATGACATGTAAACAAAATGGCGTCTGCCTCTCGACTGGATTTTTTAAAATCAGTAAAACATACTCTGACAAGATTAAAACTGCAATAAAAATGGTTAATTATGTTTTAGTTGAGCGTGCAAACCACTCAATGTATAAAATAGCTTAAATAAAGCAGTGAAAGTCGGAAAAATAAATCTGTACAAAGTGAACACAGAAACAGCTGAACGAACGGTTTTCGAACTCCGGGCATGGCATACGTCATATTATGACGTCATTCGGCGGAGAGCTTGGTGGTTACCGTGGTAACGGGTAATATTTTTTCCAGTTGTCACCCTGTTTCCAGGAGACACGGAAACTTGTTAAAGCGTCAGTGACCAATGAAATTAAAGTATTTTACATGAAGGTAAGATAAAGACTGTTATCATGGACTGCACTCTCCATACCAGGGACATATGGTCAACTCTTTCATGATCCCACCTCCCTGCCCGCCAAACATACACGTTAGCTTATACAAGTGCATGGTGTCAGCCACTTACTTAGATAATCTACAGCACAGTAAATGTGTGCAAGACGATATAGAACTCCCCAGATATTCACTGCACATATGTCATTTGAGTGTGTTGATGTCAGTCAATAATATCACGTATAGCTGATTAGAAACAAGCATGCTTGCTTGATAGAACTATATCATTGCAACAGTTACGGTAATCTTATCTTATCACCAGTTATTTCTGCACACAACTTGAAAAATGAGTATGGCATTTGTTGAACAGAGACAGTTGGCTGGACATGTTGTGTGTTCTATAGTATTGTCATGTCAGTTTGAAAAAGGTATAAGATACCTCTGTATGTGGCATTGTTTCTAACAAATATACTGTAAACAGTGACGATAGAGCACTGCAAGCTGGTGCACTAGCAAGTATGTGTCAAATGAGTGATGTTATATTAATCTGTTGTACACCATTTGAAAGGGACCTCACTTTTTTGTCACTTTATGTTCCAAAGAACTTTACCTTTTCACCAACCAGAATGAACACCATGAATATAATTTTAATTGATTGTTATTTTTCATGACATTTTTTCACTCACCAAGACCACAGGTTAAAATGGAGTTATGTTTCATGAAGCATTGTCAGTTTGTCATGCATTCAGTTAACTCCTTTGAAATGAAATTGTAAAAAAAGCACAATTGTAAAAGAAACCTTACGATTTTTTAATATAGAGCATGCAAGATCTAGGAATCTCTGTCATGATATGATGTGTAGGAACCAGATTTGTTAATGCAACTATAATGGAATTATACGGAATTGTTTTCTATGAAACAACAAAATCATTCAGAGCTCAGACATTTATTGATAATCTTGTGTAGAAACATAAATATTACAGTCAGTCTATCTGACATGGAGTTGAATAATTTAGTTTACAAGGGGATTATTTCATAATAGCTGTTAGATTAAATTTATGTTTAATTCCCCAAACTGAAGAAAGAAAATTTAAGAATATCTCAGTGATGAAGCTGTTGTGCAGATGGCACCAGATATTTTCTTGAACTATTTTTGCACTCACTGTGGCCATTGTTGATGAGAATATCACAGTGAGAATATTCTGTCCCCTTCCATCACACAGACTGCATGGCTACATTGTACAGATTTCTCAACCAATAACAATCATCTCAATCTGAAGTGGTGAGGAGCACGACCTTATCATTGTGTGACTACACTTGACAATACTGAGGTGAAGCACAATGTGTACTGTATTCATACAGTTATGTCGTAGTATAATCATATTGAGGTGAGTTACCAGGCAGAACAGGTAACCTTGTAGCTGACATGTCTACTGAGAGCTGATACAGTAACAGAGGCACACTCTTACAAAACACTTCGTAGTTGTGGCATGTCATTTTACATGTAGCATGATTGTAACCTGTTCAAACCTGGCAATTTCAAATTATTGACAGGTGTTTGAACCACTGATATCACAATCAAAGGATAACCCTTGAAGCATTCTTGTTGTTTTGCATACAAAAATTATTTGATGAAATATCTGATTTCTTCAGTGAGATGTAATGGGTATATTTACACAAGACACATAAAGAAATCATTTTAATCACATGTTTGTTTTCTTCAAGAAGATTGGACAATGTCAACTTTTGGATATTTTCAAAATATATTTTTAAAAATATGTAGGAATTTGCATTCCATTGTAACTATTATGATGCGGCTTTAATCTATATTTTAGCTCTGTAATACAGGACAGGGTAATATTTGCAATATTTATGTGCCCATACTTGTTATTAATGACAATCTCTGTTGTCTCTACTTTTGTTTTTTAAAAGAATGTGTGATCCCATTTCTGGTGTCCCTGCCGTGATATTGCTGGAATATTGCTAAAAGTGGCGTAGAACCCAACTCACCCACTCACTTCCTCACTTTTAAAAGAAACATCCAATTGGTTCAGCTGAAAGCAGATGAGACAAAATAATTATCAAAACATGCAAACTGCAGTCACTTAGTGCCTCTCTGTTGGCTGTAACTGTGTCATGTTGACTGAGAAGCTTTAACTGTTTGATTATGTTGGCTGTAGCTGTGTCATGTTGGCTGTAACTGTCTTTATGTTGGCCGAGAGGCTGTAACTGTAACTGTGTCTTGTTGACTGAGATTTTGTATCTGTGTCATTATGTTGGCTGAGAAGCTTTAACTGTTTCAGTATGTTGGCTGAGAAGCTGTAACTGTGTCATGTTGGCTGTAACTGTGTCATGTTGGCTGTAACTGTGTCATGTTGGCTGTAACTGTGTCATGTTGGCTATAACTGTCTTATGTTGGCTGTCATGTTGGCTGTAACTGTGTCATGTTGGCTATAACTGTCTTTATGTTGGCTGAGAAGCTGTAACTGTGTCATGTTGGCTGTAACTGTGTCATGTTGGCTGTAACTGTCTTTATGTTGGCTGAGAAGCTGTTACTGTGTCATGTTGGCTGTAACTGTGTCATGTTGGCTGTAACTGTCTTTATGTTGGCCGAGAGGCTGTAACTGTGTCATGTTGGCTGTAACTGTCTTTATGTTGGCCGAGAGACTGTAACTGTAACTGTGTCAGTATGTTGACTGAGAGGCTGTAACTGAGTCAGTATGTTGGCTGAGAGGCTGTAAATGTGTCATGTTGGCTGTAGCTGTGTCATGTTGGCTGTAACTGTCTTTATGTTGGCCGAGAGGCTGTAACTGTAACTGTGTCTTGTTGACTGAGATTTTGTATCTGTGTCATTATGTTGGCTGAGAAGCTTTAACTGTTTCAGTATGTTGGCTGAGAAGCTGTAACTGTGTCATGTTGGCTGTAGCTGTGTCATGTTGGCTGTAACTGTCTTTATGTTGGCCGAGAGGCTGTAACTGTAACTGTGTCAGTATGTTGACTGAGAGGCTGTAATTGTGTCATGTTGGCTGTAACTGTGATCATGTTGGCTGAGATGTTGTAACTGTGTCATGTTGGCCGAGAGGCTGTAACTGTGTCATGTTGGCTGAGAGGCTGTAACTGTCATCATGTTGGCTGAGATGTTGTAACTATCATCATGTTGCCTGAGAGACTGTAACTGTCATTATGTTGACTGAGATTTTGTAACTGTCTTTATGTTGGCTGAGAGACTGTAACTGTCATTATGTTGACTGAGGGGTTGTAACTGTCATTATGTTGGCTGAGAGACTGTAACTGTCATTACATTGGCTTAGGGGTTGTAACTGTCATTATGTTGGCTGAGAGACCGAAACTGTCATTATGTTTGCTGAGGGGTTGTAACTGTCATTATGTTGGCTGAGAGACTGTAAATGTCATTATGTTGGCTGAGGGGTTGTAACTGTCATTATGTTGGCTGAGAGACTGTAACTGTCATTATGTTGGCTGAGGGGTTGTAACTGTCATTATATTGGCTGAGAGACTGTAACTATCATCATATTGGCTGAGAGGCTGTAACTGTCATTATGTTGGCTGAGGGGTTGTAACTGTCATGTTGGCTGAGAGGCTGTAACCATGATCATGTTGGCTGAGAGGCTGTAACCGTGATCATGTTGGCTGAGATGTTGTAACTATCATCATGTTGCCTGAGAGACTGTAACTGTCATTATGTTGGCTGAGACTGTAACTGTCATCATGTTGGCTGAGAGGCTGTAACTGTCATTATGGTGGCTGAGAGGTTGTAACTGTCATCATGTTGGCTGAGATGCTGTAACTGTCATTATGTTGGCTGAGATGTTGTAACTGTCATGATGGTGGCTGAGAGGCTGTAACTGTCATTATGTTGGCTGAGAGACTGTAACTGACATCATGTTGGCTGAGAGACTGTAACTAATTATGTTGGGTGAGAGGTTGTAACTGTCATCATGTTGGCTGAGAGACTGTAACTGTCATTATGCTGGCTGAGAGGTTGTAACTGTCATCATGTTGGCTGAGAGGTTGTAACTGTCATCATGTTGGCTGAGAGACTGTAACTGTCATTATGTTGGCTGAGAGACTGTAACTGTCATTATGTTGGCTGAGAGACTGTAACTGTCATGTTGGCTGAGAGGCTGTAACTGTCATGTTGGCTGAGGGGTTGTAACTGTCATTATGTTGGCTGAGAGACTGTAACTGTCATTATGTTGGCTGAGAGGCTGTAACTGTCATTATGTTGGCTGAGGGGTTGTAACTGTCATTATGTTGGCTGAGATGTTGTAACTGTCATTATGTTGGCTGAGATGTTGTAACTGCCATGTTGGCTGAGAGACTGTAACTGTCATTATGTTGGCTGAGAGGCTGTAACTGTCATTATGTTGGCTGAGATGTTGTAACTGTCAATATGTTGGCTGAGAGGTTGTAACTGTTATTGTGGTGGCTGAGAGGCTGTAACTGGCTACTGGTTAGTTTGTGAGTGTACAGCTACTCCAAAGTGTTTAGGTGGCAGCATTATGTTCAGTTCTAAGAGAGGTTGAAATATGCAGTCGATGTGAGACAATGTGATACAACTCACTTCAAAGTTTGATTTGACAATCTGAGTCTTACAGAAATGTTCACTTAAATAGGCTGAACAAACTTTCATCAAAATATATGACGATTCAGACTGAGTTGTAACTTGCCGTCAGGTGGTGAAAGACAGTGATGCAGTGAACTGCTAGTTATTTCTTACTGGTATTGCATTAACAGTTTATGTACATTGTAAATGTAAGATTTATGTTGTAATGGCAGCGTGTATTAAACAGAAAACCTTCCTGTCTTTTCATATCTGAAAATGAGAAGTTGACTATACTGCTATATAGTATTGGAACTACACAAAGAATGTTGATGTTTAGGTTATTCCAATGTTTGTGTTTTAGTTGGGAGAAGTAAAAGCATGCTTGATATCAGTTTGACTATGGGATAGTTGAGAGTGATAGTAGGCTAGCTTTTACTGTGATATTACCTACACAGATATGGTACTGTAGGTAGATGCCATGTTTAACATCTTCCTCTGTTAAACAGTATCACATTTTCTGTTTTAGAAACATATATAAAAGAGAATAAAAGATATGTGGAATTTGATATGTATGTGAAGCCTTGATGATTGCTGTTGATGAGTTTTAGTTTAGGCTTGGCTGGAGTTGTTACTGATTACGGTTTATCAACAATTTCACTGGACCCGGCATATCAGCAAATATGGGTTATTGTTGCGTGAGTCAGCATCTGATTATGGTGAACTTGTCTGTCAGCTGCCTTCTGTGAATATGGTAAATACAAGATAGCTGGAGACCTCCATTCCATCTGCTGGAAGTGCTAAGATCTGTTGTGCTGGACGGGAACAGCAGCTGGAGTATGATAGTTTTACGTTCAATGAGAGCACCTTTCAGAAAAAGGGCCTCAGTACACAAATCGGCACTTTGTGTCCCATGAACGATCCCCAGACAGGTGATAACTTCAGTCACAGTTCAGGCGGTCAGGCTTGTGGTAAGAGCTGAGTAACAGGATCAGGTGGTCAGGCTTGTGGTAAGAGTCGAGTAGCAGGATGAGGTGGTCAGGCTTGTGGTAAGAGTCGACTAACAGGATCCGGTGGTCAGGCTTGTGGTAAGAGCCGACTAACAGGATCAGGTGGTCAGGCTTGAGGTAAGAGCCGACTAACAGGATCAGGTGGTCAGGCTTGTGGTAAGAGCCGACTAACAGGGTCAGGTGGTCAGGCTTGTGGTAAGAGCCGACTAACAGGATCAGGTGGTCAGGCTTGTGGTAAGAGCCGACTAACAGGATCAGGTAGTCAGGCTTGTGGTAAGAGCCGACTAACAGTATCAGGTAGTCATGCTTGAGGTAAGAGCTGAGTAACAGGATCAGGCGCAATTCCTCCCCGTTCTCTCAAGACAGAGGTATTGCTCTGTGGTCATGATGAAACAAGAAGACAAAGTCATCAATATCCCCCGCAATGGCAAAATACTCTTCATGATTATGTCTACGAGTTATGATTATGTCAAATATTTAGGTGTGTATATAGAAAAGTGGAAGGAGAGTATTGAAAGGTTTTTAAAGTTCTGCTCCAGAAAGGAGCACTATCACCAATTTCAGTCTATGTCAAACTTGTTGCCATGGAAATGCCAAATATATTTTATTCAGAAATCCAAAACTACCAAACAGGAACCAGTACACCACCAGACCAATCTATGTGTCAAGTTCGGTGAAGAAATAGTGAACGGTTTTAGAGTTCAGCTCCGGAAAAGAGCACAACCACCAATATCAGGCTTAGTCAAACTTGTTGCCATGGAAACGCCAAAAATATTTTATTCAGAATTCCAAAACTACCAAAAGGCACCAGTACACCACCAGACCAATCTATGTGTCAAGTTTGGTGAAGAAATAGTGAACGGTTTTAGAGTTCAGCTCCGGAAAAGAGCACAACCACCAATATCAGGCTTAGTCAAACTTCTTGCCATGGAAATGCCAAAAATATTGTATTCAGAATTCCAAAACTACCAAAAGGCACCAGTACACCACCAGATCTATCTATACTAGCCACATAAAGAAACTGCATTGTCAAAATATTATCCCAGTTGATAAGTACGATAACAATGTCAAAGGTACATATACACTTGAATGGAGGGATCTGAGACCATAACAAGTCGGGAGAATTTCAATTGAAAAGTCAATCACAATGACGTCACGAGTCCACAAGCGGGACAGGGGTCAAACGACCATGTCACAAGCTCAATAACGGGTATGTCCACCATCGGCATTGAGAACAGCAGTGCATCGACGACGCATAGAGCCTATCAAACGTGCAAGGAAGGCTTGTGGGATGTCACACCAGATTCTCTCAAGTTATGTTGCAAGGTCAAGGACGTTATCTGGCGGATGAGGAAGACGGCGTAGACGTCGATCCATCACGTCCCAAACATGCTCTATCGGGGAGAGATCCGGTGAATTTGCAGGCCAAGGCAGTAAGTCAACGTTGTCGTGTTGCAAGAAATCCATAGCAACCCTTGCCGTATGAGGGCGGGCATTGTCCTGTTTGAAGGTTAACCAAGGGCCATGACGTTGCAGAAAAGGAATTGCCACAGGTCGAATAATCTGATCCCTGTAGCCCACACCAGTTAAGTTGCCCTGAACAATCACCAAAGGAGTTCTTTGGCTTGCTGTTATTCCACCCCAAATCATCACGGAACCACCGCCAAAGCGATTCCTCTCCAAGACACAGGCCTGTGCATAACGTTCTCCCACGCGTCTATAGGCACGTTGACGTCCATCACTATGGGAAATGTTAAACCTGGACTCATCTGTAAAAAACAACATTTCTCCACCGAAACAAGGGTCTGCGAACATGATTTCGGCACCACATTCGGCGAGCTTGTCGATGACGTTGTGTCAGGATAGGCCGTATGGCGGGACGTCGTGGTCTGATCCCGTGATGACGTAAACGTTGTCGAACTGTTTTGGGGTGGATACGGCGAAGTCCTGGGATGGTTCGGGCAGTCATCACTGCAGTCTGAAACCTGTGGCGAAGATGGGTCACACTTATCCATCTGTCCTGTCTTAGCGTTGTTACACGTGGACGTCCAGAACGTGGCCGATCGATGACGTCATTTGTGTTCTGGTAGCGTCTCACCAGTGCAGAAATGGTGTTCCGGTGGCAGTGGAAATGTGCAGCCACTTGTCGTTGAGACAATCCCCCACGGACCATCCCAATGGCCTCATGACGTTGTGCAGACGTGAGCCTTGGCATGCTATGCTTTTCAATAGCCGTTTAATTTTTTTAACGATTGCAAGGGCAGGGGTTGAGCTTTCTAAAGTGACAGTATTGTGTGGCATTCATTTGCTCTGTTTCTCTTTCCCGGGATGCACGTGCAACAACGTATTGCACGTCTCAAGGACGAACCCACTGACGTCACGGAACGTGGCACGTGCATGCATGTTGGATACATGTCACTAATCTCTGAGTTTAAATCCTTATGTGTCTACACAGGTTTGATAAATTTAGATTTTAAATTTTTGTATGCACAGTTTCTTTATGTGCCTAGTATATGTGCCAAGTTTGGTGAAGAAATAGTGAACGGTTTTTGAGTTCTGCTCCGGAAAAGAGCACTACAACTAATTTCATTCTAAGTCGAACTTGTTGCCATGGAAACGCCAAAAATGTTTTATTCAGAATTCCAAAACTACCAAAAGGCACCAGTACACCACCAGATCTATCTATGTGCCAAGTTTGGTGAAGACATAGTGAACGGTTTTAGAGTTCTGCTCCGGAAAAGACAAATGTGCAGGGACGGAGTCCATTTTAATACCCCCCGCAAAACGCGTTGCGGGGGATAAAAATAAATAGTAAATAATAAATATGGTATGTTGATCATGTCCATTCTTGGCATATTAAGGAGCATTCCACCTATGAATCATGCAGTGGTGGATAAGTCCAAAATTTCATATTCACTTGAAATTTTGTCATTCTCTTTATTTGGCCTTGTAAAATGTCATGTCACTCAGAAATGTTTCTGTTCTCAATATTTTTAATTAATTAGCCGTTAATTAAAGTTCTACGAATTTGACCCAGAATCGTATGTGAACATGTACGAAAATACTATTTTTCAGTTGACAATATTGTTAAAACCATTCATGCTGTCAGAATTATTTTACTTTGTATTGAAAGAATACATATAACTTTCACTTCAGTTATATTTTTTAAAAGTTGTTGAGTACAGCTCCATAACAACGGTTGTCAAGGTAACGGGTATTCTAACCCGTTAGTTGATTGGTTGGTTGGTTTGTAAATTGCTTAGTAAGTTTACTTTACTAAATGATTTGCACAAAAAATCATCAGGTGAGAGTCCAGGTGATGAAGGAGTAAGAATACACTCCGAAACGTCGTGTTATTCACAATAATGAAGTTGACATCCATAAATCTTGCTTTTCTTATGCATTCCACTTCTAAATGTCCTTCATACATTTACACATACTTTACAGTTTCAGTTGTTTTATTTATTTACAAGCTAGGTCTACTCAGCAGGGAACACTAATTAGGACTGTTCCATTTCAGCCATGGGTGTTGTCTTAGTTAATCCCCTCTATTAGTGTCTAAGTTATGGCTGTCTAAGATATGGAGGTCTACATTTTGGGAGATAACCCAATTTACAGGCATGGTTACCAGTTTGAATTGTGGTTGAACTATTCGTCTTATATAGCATTCTGTCTGAACTGACAATGATATTGAGTTGTAATCATTAAATAAACAGTTGTGTGGTTGACTATACTCATAAAATAAACACTTAACCAATCTGAGATGTTTTAAATAAACAACACCGTGACATTCTGAGATGTTTCCTTTAGCACTTTTGACTTTAATCTATGGCCCTTTTGACCTGTTGCCTCAGCTTCATATATGTTATTATACTAAAATATCTGCAGGTGAAAAATGCAGTTTAAACATCTAATTCTCTGACATTCCTAGTTTAGGGATCTTGTGCTTCTTGTTAGTACCACCTAAAAGGATATCGGACATATGTTGTGGAATAGTTTGGATTACATATATATGGCAACACCTTTCCCTCGGCTCCTCTGCAGCTGAAGCAGATGGTGGTCAAGTAGGGCTGGAAGAAAGGTGTATTGGGGGAAAATCCAGGAGATGGGTTATATATTCGACCAAATTTAAAACTACACACTTGCTGAATTGAATCACATAACTGGAAGTAGTATGTGCATTATTATGATAATAGATGTGTATCATGCTGCTATATTCCAGGTAACAGTACAGCTGAAAAGTGGACTGCGGTATCATTTATTGGAAAAATGACGTTCCATGGCCCCTGAACGCAAACTGTTGAAACTGAAGAAGTCATCAACGAGTGTTATCTCCCAGGTAGGGTGGCTGTGCACAACTCTGGGAGTCCGAGCCACTAGTGATCTAGGCATAGTGGTCTGTGTCACATACTGGAGTAAACACAAGACCCAAATTAAAAGCTAAATGTAATTTATTCACTAAATCTACCTTATTTACAATAGGTCATATAGGCTTGCATTCACAACTTCATTGTCACATCACCAAACACACTCACACTCTTTCCCCTACACGCCCCAAAACGCACAGCATACCTCACCTCAACATTCACATATACTCGCTTACACTCACATCAACACTCAAAATATCACAACACTACAAATGTCTGTTTAAAGAAATACACAACAATTCATATGTTTCTGGGAAAGATTTCCGCCCGTAAGCCCCATATTGTTTAAAATCAATATTTGCCTAAGAATATACATATATGTTTCTTATATACAGCCTATACCTAACCCTAACCCTAAAATCTAACCCTAAACCCTCGAAATAATCCTAATAAATAGAATACATTTCAAGCGTGGATTACGGGCGGAACTCTTACCACCAGTTGAATATTCAGGAAAGCCAGCCAACCTGACACGCACATACACTCTACAACTGGTTGCCAGCTCTCACTTTTCAAATCAATCCTTATATACCCCCAAGCTACTTGATTGACCCCAAGCTTACTACCCACATACAATCAATGGTGTTTCATACTGCACACCTGCAACACAACAATCGCTCACTGCTTACATCACTGACCTAGCTCACATGTCCTCAATCCAAATTTCTCACACCTCAGACATAGAATAAAACATACATTACACTAATTGTGATCTTGACAGTCTGTATGCTGTCATTCTGAAGACCCTGTTTCATTCCCAGAATAGCAGAACACTGTGGAACCCATTTTTGTTTTCGTCGACAGTTGCATGGCTTGAATAATGTTTAAACTCATGTTTGAACCTCACTGGCTGACTGACTGACTGACTGACTGACTGACTGACTCACTCACTCAGTCACCCACAGCACCGAATGGCTGGAGATTTGCCGACCGTCACTCAGAAAGACATGCATTAAGTCTGCAACTGACTTCATGATTGCATGTACATTTATTACACACACACCTCCCGTCGCTGACATTACACATTCGTTGTAGAATAGGCTGGTGACGCATGGCGATGTGATAAGGAGTGGACGTCCCAGTACTCGCCATGTTCAGCATACTGATTCTAGGTTACAAATAACGACTCACCTTGGAAAGGTAGGTTGCGAAGTGAACTACTGTAGCAAAGACGATTCTTTAGACACAGCGTTTTGAAGTAACGCCAACGAGTGAAGTATTAATGATTAGGATTAACATAACCAATAGATCTAATGAACACAGCTGAAAACAAACATATATATATCTTGATTGTCTAGGAACCCTCAACTTCTATATACCTATAGATCAGAAAAATTGTAGGTGCAATTCGGAAATTCCTCTGTATTTAAGCAGGTTTTTTCTTTTAACAAGGTTTCATTACTTACCCAGAATTCCTATTTGCAGTATCTCCCGATTAGGGCCATGGGTTCTATTAGGACCTGTCATTCGTGGCAGTACTAATACATTAGCAGTGCCATTCCAGTACCAGTACTTGCAATGATGCGTGCCCGATACTTACATCATGAAGACTGTTTAATGTGTTTCTCTACATTGGCAGAACGATCTTCACAAAGTCTACCACTGTTTGGAGTAGAAGCGTGACCAGATACTTTACACAGGACTACCTCGAATACGTGAATTAGTCTACACTGGTTACATCTTATAGGTCTCAGACATGATGAAGGGATCCTGCTTGTGTGTTTTCGTCAGCGTCTGCCTGTCTACACACATCACAGAAACAGCTGTGTTGGACAGACTTGTGAGTTAATTACTACATCTAGGAGATAGATTACAGTGTCACTTCACAATTTCCAGTCATAAGAATTCTGTTACTGGGAAGATGCTGTCCCAGCTGATTTGTGGTCTGGTCCATGTCGTACCTGATGGCATGGGTCGATGCTCATGCTGGCAGTCACCAATTCGCTTGTCAAATCTGGAGTATTTACTTGACATAGATGAATTATATCAGTTAAGAAATATTCCTTCGCTGAGGCCCATACATCAAGTTCTATTATAAGCTGAATTTAAGCAGAAACGACGAGGTTCATGACTGTTGTGTGGATGTTGCAGTTTCTTCATCATCTGTGGTGTGCTTGTGTTATATAACGCCGACGTGGTTTGGTCCGCCTGTTTTTGAAACATGACTCTCCCAGTAAAAAATTATACAATGACATTTACAAGCCCTAAATATGCCTTTGTAATGATTCATGCAGCATTTTTACCAAACTAAATGCTTACCATAACTTACTTTTCCAACTGTCACTGGTCAGATCCGAGATGAGTTCATTTCTTGGGCTCCTGGAGAAGACGTCCCGGATTTATCAGTTTTCTCGCCGACCAAACAAGCAGCAGACGCCTCTTCTGACACCATCCCCCCAGCCATGGTCAGCGACCTTCGGGTGGCCAGTTATGACGTTAAAACCCAGATCGTGACGCTGACGTGGACAGCTCCCGGAGATGATGGCCACACTGGAACAGGTGTGTAAGGAGAGAACAACACAACAGTCAAACATGGTTAATATCCGTAGCCGATATGTTTCGATAAAGGTTTTCCTTTTTTTTTTTGGTATTTCATCATCATTTCAAATACCTGTGACCATATGATCGACACAATCCTGATGAACATAGTATGTGTTTCAGCCAAGCGGTTTGACATCAGGATGGCAGAGTCCCGGACACAGATACAAACTAATTTCTCGGCTTCTCCAAAGGTGGAGCGAGACATGCTGTTGGCCGGGCAACTAACGACCAAAGCAGCCGGAACACCACAGCAAATAATGTTTGAGATTCCAAATAAGGCCATTTGGAAAGAGTATGTGTTTGCTCTGAAGACGTTTGATGAGGTAAATAACGAATCCCCCGTGTCTGTTACAATCCCCCTTCCTTATTCATCATATGTGACTCACATGACAGCAGCAGCAACAGCAGTAGCAGCAGCAGCGGTGACAAAAGCGGTGTCGACCCCAAGAGGCCACTCGACAACGCAGTCACATCAGTCACACATGTCACCTCCAGCCAAGAGACCAGACGTTGGCGTCATTGTGGGGGGTTCACTCTGTGGCGTGGCCGGAGCTGCAGCGACAACTGGAATAGTGATCAAGGTGTTGTACAAGAAAAAGACTAAACTACAACCACATCCATTGGAAGCCAAAATGACGGAACCGTCTGTGCCTCGTGAAAACTTTGCCATTATCAATTCAACCAAATAAGCAGGTCTGAATCACAGGTCCTCGTGTCTTTGCGAGGATTTAAGATTTAAAAAAAAATGTTTTTGAGATGACCCCCGAATCTAAATGCTTCACTGTACAAATACATCATGACAAAACCGGACACTTCGGTGTACCCCACCCGCCTGCTTTGCCGATCGCTACGAAGCAAGCCCTCTGATATCTCAACGCTTGTAAATCTGCAGATTCTTCATAAATTTTTCGCGGGAATTTTTACTTTCATCGACTGCTTGACTTGGAAATGTAAGATTTCTTTTACCAGCAAGGGCTTCTCAGAAGAAAGCATCAGTTGTAAATGTCTCCTTAACGAGCCTCAGCCAACCAGAGGTCTTGCTTCGACCACACCTCCGTTCTATGCGGATATAATATTATCGTCATCCATTTGTGTCAAGTTCGTTTAGTTGAGAGTCAAAATCGGGTTTCAATCGACTTGCAGAAATAACAATAAAGAATTGGTAGGTGTCATGAGTGGTGCTCGATAGGCCAATCATCCATGATTATGTTTACATCAAGTTTTAATCTGCATGCGATGGTAGCGTAACGATCGACAAAGCAGGCGGGTGGGGTACACCGAAGTGTCCGGCCTTGTCATGTTGTATTGTACTGTGAAGCATTTAGAGTCGGGGGTCATCTCAATAACAATATGTTTTAAATCTTTAATGCTCGCAAAGACACGAGGGCCTGTGGTCTGAATGACACCTGTAAAATGATAAATGAATAAAACAGATACAAAATAGTAGTTATCGCAATGCACATCACCTAATGATGTTATTGTTTCCTTTGTAAATTACATGTTGTGATAAATATAACTAAACGTTGAAGTTAGTATGTGTCTAATGTCCCGACGGCCTTGCCTCCTCTGACGAATGGTATTCGGCTCAGATCGGGGGTACTGATAGCCATGTACACTGTGGAGAACCGGCAACCAGGACAGTCGGAGTACAGCACGTGAACCTTGCATGCAGTTACAGAATCTGGATGTCTCATCAAAGCAGTGTTTATGTTTGTTACAAGACTCGAATCCAATGACGTGAACATATTGGAGCAATGTGTGTACAGTTATGTCACACCTGATCTGACAACATGAAAACTGGACATTTTCAATAATTATTTCTCCATAAGATCCTGTGGCTGGACTCAATCCTAAGACTTAAAGCTCTTCGTCTCAAATCTACTCACATATTTCTGAATTTCCTCCGTGAATTTCCTCAATTGTCTGGTCGATTTCAGAACAACAGAAACCGGGTATCACCCTCTTCCAAGAGGTCATATTCTTCCTACACATGTGGAGAACAATGAATATGTGGCCACGTTTGGATGTACCCTTGTGTTGTTCAGAGTTTACAAACCTAAAGCAAAAGTACGATATATCTCGTATTCACTTATTCTACGAAATATATTGTACTGCATTGCATAATATTGTTGTTTTAATTTTTGACAGTTTTAGTCTATACCATATTTTGTCATGTCAGACTGGCTCATGAATGTATTCCAGTACAAAGTGGGCCATATTCACTTTGCAGGTGTGTTATACAAGGTTTTGGGCACGTATTGTGTAACTGAATGAGTTGGTTCGCTAAGTTAGGGGTCGTGTTCGGTTTTACCAGCCTGGCTTGCTATTCTCGAGACGTTCGTAGCCCTACTAACTTCTTAAAGGGTCCTTCACACTTATTTCGAATTGACAGGAATTAAGGAGAATCAGCCAGAAAAAGAATATTTCCAAAATTCGAACCGCATCCGGGAGAGAATGTCTAAATAAACAAATTTTTTCAAGCTTTGTAAGAATGCTGTTGGAATACTTAAAACGCACTTAGAACCCGCCTCGAATTATTCTTACTCATTCCAAATGTACTAGATCACGAATGCAGTTCGAATGAATCGGAATACAGTAGGAACAACTAGAACGCCGCTAGAATACACTAAGAATACTTAAAATGAATTTCGACTGCAGTACGAGTCCGGTTCGATTGCTGCGTGAATAGCACTCGAATTTCAGTTCAAGAATGCTGCCGGAATTTTCCACGATGGGGTATAAAAACCGGTTGAATCTGGACTATTCGTCAGTCACTGCCCAACTCCCATAGAGTATGGACCACCTGGACCATGTTGCAATGCTCCCGATTGCTGTCCTCCAGCAAGCCCAGATTGAAAGAGATGTGGAAAAGAAACAGGAGAAGACCCAGGAGATTCCAGACCAGACCGTGGCTGACGGAGGAAAGGAGGAGGCTGTTTGACATTACACAAGACTGATGGAAGAGCTCAGAGTTGGGGACACGCAGTCATTATTCAACTATCTTAGGATGGAGCCCGCCATGTTTGATGAGTTGGTGCAGAAAGTGGAACCAAGAATACAGAAGCAGGATACATATATGAGAAAGGTGCTACCTCCAGGCTTGAAGCTAGCCATCACATTGAGGTTCCTGGCTTTAGGTAATACCCCAGCTTCCGTGTGGCAAGGAACACAATCAACCTGATCATCTCAGAAGTATGTAAGGTTATTTGGGGAAATACAAGGATGATGTTATCATCTGCCCTACCACTCCAGAAGAATGGACACCGATTGAAGAGGTATTCAGAAACAGGTGGAATATACCTCATGCCGTAGGAGCTTTAGATGACAAACATGTGGCCATTAGGAAACCTGCCAAGGGCAGCTCATTGTACCACAACTACAAGGGCTTCTTTTCTGTGGTCCAAATGGCCCTTGTGGGCGGACGTTGGTGCTTACGGAAGTATGTCTGATGCTCAGATCTCCAACAAGTGCGAGCTCAAGGATTGTCTTGAAGACGGGGGTGCATAGGATTTCCTGATCCGTTCTCCTTACCACAAGATGACTAGCGTATGCCATGCTTTATTCTGGGAGATGATGCGTTTGGATTAAGAGCCTTCTTGATGAAACCGTATGGTCATATGACTCTCCAGAGAAACGAGAGAATCAACAACTACAGGATCAGTCGGGGCCGACGGGTAGTGGAAAATGCATTTGGAATCATGGCCCACAGTTGGCAAATCCTCCTCACCACCATGCTGCCAAGGCCTTCCGTTGTGAAGGACATCATTGAATGCTGTGTCTGCCTGCACAACTTGATGAGGACTCGTTATCCTAATCTCCACAACGGTATGGTGGATGAGGGAGATGAGCAGCACAACGTGGTGCCAGGAGGCTGGAGAAAACTTGCGCAGCTTGAAGGTGTGAATGATGTCTGAAGTCGGGTCAGGGGTGCGCACCCCCTCTTTGGTGCTGAAAGTTTGTTAAATGACCATTGAAACTCGGGTGAAAATGAAATGTGCACCCCTCCTTTTCTTAATAGTGTGCACCCCCCCCTTTCTCAAAAAGCTGTATCCGCCCCTGATACGTTCAGAATACTTAGAATGCAGTTAGAATGCAGTAAGAATACTTAGAATGCAGTTAGAATGCAGTAAGAATACTTAGAATGCAGTTAGAATGCAGTAAGAATACTTAGAATGCAGTTAGAAAGCACTTCAAATGCTGTTCGATATTTTTCCACTTCGAATGTACCTCGAAAGTTTTGAACATGTTCAAAACATTCGGCCATGTTTCAAGAATTGACACGAATAGTTTGAGTGCATTCGGAATAGAGTAAGAAGTTTTAGAATGCAGTTCGAATCTCCAGGAATTTTCATTCCGACAGCATTCCGCCTCAAGTGTGAAGGGGGTATAAGCCCATTCTTAACACATTTCGAGAATACGGGCCCTGGTTTCTAGCTGACGACATTGACAAATATCAAGATTTGTATGCTAAACTCAATTCATTCCGTTACACGTCAAATATTTTCGGTCTTCATACGGCGATGAGGTTTCCATTTGAGGACGGACACAATTTCCAGTTTGCGTTTATCTACGCAATTGACTGCTGACACAGTGGCAGCAGGTACAAGCGACAAGAACCAGTTAGTAGACAGGCTTCACTTGTTCAGTATATATGCAGGGACAAGTAGCTCCCACTCAATAGTCGCCTTGTCTGGAAACAACAGTACAGTTGTATGGCGATGGACATAAATGCTTCAGAATGCATGGTGAGGGGATGTTAGCCTGTCCTGCATGTGCAAGCAGTTGCTGTGCCTAGAATTACAGATGCATTTGAGTGTTGATACAACCCTTCCCAGAGGTGTTTTATTGGGTTCAAATGCTGCAATGTTCAGGGCCACGACAGGTTCAAATGTTGCAATGTTCAGAGCCACGACAGGTTCAAATGTTGCAATGTTCAGAGCCACGACAGGTTCAAATGTTGCAATGTTCAGGGCCACGACAGGTTTAAATGTTGCAATGTTCAGGGCCATGACAGGACCGTGGTTTGCTGTTGTTGCTCGTCCTGTATGTGGTCAAGAGTTTAATTGTTTTCAACATACGTGACATTATAAAGGACATATACAAAGTTCCAATATGGCAGTATGGGTCAAATAGTGGTCAGTTTTGAAAATCGGATCAATACCGTTTGAGCAAATCAGGTGTCATCACTTCGGGAATGAGCATGTTAGCTTTCAGCTTCACTGGACCAGCATCTTCTGAGAAGATATTTACAGATGGTGCCGATCATGACATGAGCTTAAAAGTTCAGTGATGAATAGAAAGAAAGACAGAATCACATACATTCCTGTTGAGATATGACTCAGCGAGCTGATGTAATTAATCCTTAAAGATTGCATATTATTGAACGCATCATGCAGTATGGCAAATTTAAACTTAATTCAAAGAGCTCATAGAGTAAAAAACCCTAATTTTTCATACACTACATGATCACTGATATGAAGATACCAGTGCATAACAAATATATACAATTGTTTTGAGATCACACAGCTAAAGTAGTCGTGGTGCAGGTGAGATACCCACTACGGACCAAGCACCAGTTGCTAGGTAATGTTGCACAGTAATGTTTATTTGAAATGAACAAAGGTAAGGCCTCTGTACTTCCATGTTGAAGTATTATAGGTGTAAAACCCTCTGTCGAGGTTATTTTCCTTCACCAGCTGCAGGTACTACCAGGCAAGCAATGTCCATATATTACCCATTTTGAAATCTCACTGTCAGGTGCAAACAATGACCCTTTGTCATCACAAGTCACCTGCACTGTCCATGTATGTACAGAGTGATATATTTCTTCAATGCATCACCCGTCCATATGTTCGCACATAGACATCCCTTTGCCAAGTTCAAGCACTGGCCATATGTTAACAGTGATATCAACCAACCAAGTGCAAGAACTGGTTATACATTAACATATCAATACCTAACAGTCAGGTGCAAGAGCTAGTGCTAATATAACCCAATGACACTTCCCCACCAAGTGCAAGCACTGCCCATATGTTAATGAAGTGATATTTAGTCAGACATCAACACTGCCCATATGTTTACACACTGACATCCCAAATCATCAAATGCCACCCCTTCCAATATGTTAATGCCATATCTACCCACCAAGTGCAGATATGTAATACATTCTTATTTTAAAAACAACACAAATTGTACATGTTCCATGTTTTATTACTTGAATATATAGTTTTTATGTATATAGTTTTTATGTATATTTGTCTATATCACAGATAGGAGTTCCAGGAGGACCCTGAGATCCCATTACATAAACAAACATGGTAATAAGGTATTAAAATTCTTCAATAAAATGAAAGAATTCTGTAACAGTGGGACTAAAATATAATTAATAGTTAAAGCACACATGATTTTTCATAACTGTTGTGTGATTTAGTAGATGATTGTCAAGACATTCCCAGATACCCTGGTCATACAATCCATCTCTCGCTCCTCCCTCAGGTAGTTGCTACAGGTTGCTTGTCTTCCCGACCCATGTCCTGATGAGCTGGTGGGCTATAGCCTGTTTTGGTGGAACAAAGAGACCATCTGGGTGCTGATGGGTTATCATCTGGACAACCTCTGGCCGTGTGAACCAACGGGCAGCCTCTAGCTCATCATCATTATCAAGCTGTAGAAAGAGCATAGGAGTTTATCATGATGATCAGGGAAACTAACTGTCCTTAATCTTCTTTCTTCTGAGGGAGAATGTCCCATGGACATAAATTACGGAACTTTTCTTATGAAATCTATACTGTCAGATCAGCCTTTTTGATTTACCTTGATGGTTTCTGTCTTGGCATGGGTAATGCATCCCAGCATGAGAACAGCCGGGAAGGGCCATGGCTGACTAGAGTGATACTCCACACGGCCTACTTGTATCCCACTCTCTTCCTCCACCTCTCTCCTACAGGTGTCCTCGATACATTCACCTGCACAAATACAAATCTACAGTCTGATACAGGCCAGCTTTGTGTCCCCCGATACACATTTACAGCAGCAGTCACTGTGGACGTGGAGGTCATGCTACAGTCTGATACAGGCCAGCTTTGTGTCCCCCTTACACCATTACAGCAGCAGTCACTGTGGACGTGGAGGTCATGCTACAGTCTGATACAGGCCAGCTTTGTGTCCCCCATACACCATTACAGCAGCAGTCACTGTGGACGTGGAGGTCATGCTACAGTCTGATACAGGCCAGCTTTGTGTCCCCCCATACACCATTAAGCATGCCTTTCTGTGTGAGATTGTAGCATGCTCTCCATGTCCCCATACATACCTGGTTCCATGAAGCCAGCAAGGCAGGAGAACATCTTGGGAGGGAAGGTTTTCTTTCTGCCCAGCAGACATCGACTGCCGTCAGGGGAAACAACCAACATGATGAGCGATGGATCAACTCGTGGATAGCAGGTGTTGTGGATCCCTAACAAAATGATCAGAAAACACATTACTTATTAGGGCTCCTTGCCTCTAGGCAGGAGACCTATTGTAATCATTCGGATTATTATTATCATTATTATTATTTATTATTCCGCCGATTTTTGTACCAAACATAACTCCTAAACCAATGCTCCGAATCGCTTACAAAATATCACACAGATGCGCACCGAGGTGTAGATATTCCCCTTAAATATCTCTAGGCTCTAGGCCCAATAGCAAAGGGGATATAATTCAAAATTAATTCCAAAATTTCAAAGTTTGACAGCAAATATCTCAAGAACTAATTCTTCCAACACTTCCAAATCTCTTGTACAGATGCACAATCAAATTCCCAACAACTTTGCCTGGATGGGTCAAGTCGCTAAAACGTACCGTTTGGCAGTTATTTTTGTTTTCAGTTTTTGGCCATGTTTTTCAGCAGTTTTCTGAGTAGTTTGCTCCCAAATGATAGATGAAGTCCTGGTGATTCCAAAACAACTGAGATACAGCATTTTAAAGAGGGAACTATTTCTTCTCCAGAACTTCTTAAATGGTACATGGTACATAACCCTGCGATCCCGGCTGTATTTGGAAGATCCGCTCGCCTGTCAAACACGTGTTCTGGCTTCGTTTTGGACAATGATTTCTTGCCCTCAAATACAATAGATAGAACTAAAGCCAAGGAGCCCTCATTGTTGCTTGCAACTATATTTTGGTATTATATTTATCGGCAGAAACAGACATACTATTTTCTGTCCTGATTTCTGCATAAAATATAACTAGGTCAAGCTAAATCAGTGTTCAATGATCAGAATGCTCTTGACATGCTTGATGACAACTCAAAACAATGTAAAGTGAATCATATAAAGTTACCTGAGTACATGAAATGAGAATACCAGCAGTATACTTTGGAAGAAGTTTTTCAAAATGTGAGCCTTTTGGGTTGATGCATCCTTAAAATCCAAAACACTGCTTTCTTATGTAGCTTGAAATCTAATGCAGGGCCCCCGTTTTACAAAGCTCTCTTAAGCCTAAGGTCTCGTAACTTTTCTCGTAGCATTCATACCTCCTATGTTACAGTACAGGAGGTAGGAATGCTACGAGAAAAGTTATCAGAGCTTTGTGAAATGGGGCGCAGGTGGTGTCTGCGAACAGACATCCTATCTCAGTAACCTGAGTTTCAGCCATGAGATGTGACCTCACTCACCCTTGTGACTGCGGCAGTCAGCGTTGTCACATACCCTCTTGTAGCCCGCCTCGCGCACACTGTGGAGCTGCCACATGTCGCACAGAATGAGTACCGATCATGCCAGGTCAGTATAGAGCGAGCTTCAGCAAATATTCCAGCATGTCTCTCATCCATCTGCATAGTCAATGGGAATGGATTTGCAAAGAAACCATCTTTGTGTACATCCTTCAGTTTGCTCTCCTCAAAACCTGTGACATCAACAGCAAACCACACAGCTGACTCAGAGTCCCATGTCTCTAGCCCCAGGAATATCAGCAGAGGTTTCTTTGCTATATGTTCAGCAAGCTGCTTGTAACTGAACAGACCTAGAATATATTTATTCTTCTTTGACTTGACATTTGTGTCTTCTTTTAGGAATGGATTCAGATCTGAGAAAATGATGAACTTTGTGTTGTCCTTCCGAACAGCTTGGTCGATCCACTCTGGGTGCTTCCTACGGTCAGAGGCCCGGTTAAGTGGGTTGACAGAATAGTAGTTGTGACATTCCTGGGTGGGGACAACTGTGCTGGCGGAGAGGGCACTAGATGCCTCACTGTGATTCCAGAAGTTGGCGATATCTAGAGCTGTTTGACCAGATGAGTTGAGGACATTCACACTAGACCTGTAGAGGAGACATAAGGCATCACCTTATCATCACACAAACATCACACGCTGAAAATATCTGGCAGTTCTAACAAAATGACTCAGCGGAGTGCCTTCCCTTCAATCTTAGACAATACCATCACCATGCAAGCTGGTGGCGGCGTTATCATTCAGTATTTTAACTCTTAAAAGCCATTTGATCCAAAACACCAATCAAAAACGATCAACAGTATATAATAATCATTCAGTGTTTATGAACATCAAATAATGTAAGTACTGTTGGGTAACCAGTTTATCTGTTGTGCAATTTCAGTCTGCATTAGGGTCATTGGAGAGAAACCCTGAAGTTGCACTCAATTAGTCACAGCACTGCTTTACAGTATAGGTGGTCCATCAGCTGTTTGAACTCACCCTTGCTCCAACAAAGACTTGATAACAGACACCTGGCCATTCCTGGCAGCAAACATCAGCGCTGTCCACCCACGTTCATTCTTGGCATCAACATCCACAGCTGCTATAACAAACCAGGACATGTAAAGTAGGCTCTGCTCTAGTCTGTCGTACAGACCCTGAAGTAAATATATCCAAGAAAGCCCACGCAAGTCTAGAAAATGTGGCAAGTCTAGATTTCCTCAGTCTCAGGGCTCCTTTTCATTATATTTTATTTGTTTTTACTATGAACTTTTTTCAGTAAAATATGTTCATTTCAGAGACTAGTTGTTAGTCTAGCTCTGCCCATTCAGGACAATTGTGGACAGTGGGTCACATGGTTTAGAGTGAATAAAGGAAATACACTAACTACTAACCAACACAATCCAATGGAGCCTTTACAATAAGATGTACAGAATACTGGCTTCAACAGTAGAAGCATGAGGATGAATTAGCAACACCCAACTGCTTGAGATACACTAATCAAATGGTTGACCATACATTGAATTACTTTAGATTATATTATACATGTCAGCAAAAGTAGTGATAGACAGTATGGTCAGTTTGGCCATGATTGTGGTGAAAAACATCAAATAGTTGTTAAATTTTTCCATATGTTAAATCATTTATTAAATGATCATTCTAAATTCTCATTCGAACTGAATTGGTGAAGGATTAATATTTCACAAAATTTAAATTGCATTAGAAATTAATATGTATAAACAATAAGTACTGTAACACAAACACATTAGGCACTAGCCCTGAGTAATGAGAGTGATGTGACATTTTACAACTACCTCAAACACTAACAATATTTTCTTTGAGATTTTAAAGTTATCATCTCTGTAATTCGCTCCTGTCCAGTTTTTAGCTACCATGTGTGAATGTATCGCAGTACTGACAAGCACAAATTCTTACCCACGGTTTGTGCAGTTGACATTTTATGATTAATGTTGGAAATTACAAATGGAACAGTTATTTCATGTTGAGTCCTCATACAACACAGTATGTAGTTTTCATTATGTTCATCATTATGACCAATTACAGATCAGCACTTAAACTCTTTCTCTTGTTCCACACAAAATGGTCAGACATAATGTTTTGACTACAAAAGAAGTCAAAGGTAATCGGATTTCCCAATATTTGTTTGTTTTTGCGGCAGAAATACCAGGGATGGTGGTAAAAAGTAATACAAACGTAAGGTGTAGCTCTTGGCGAGCGTGTAAATAGGTCAATATGGAGATGACAACACACCACTTCTAGACAGCTCAGAGGACGCTCTAAATGAAGTCAATTCTACAAAATGTTTGGCACACAGTTTAATTAACGTCAAGTGGCATGGTTAGGATCAATGGCACAAACTTCACTCACATATGCTCTGGTTCAAAGACTAAGTCTAGTGACAGATTGATGGCCATACTGTTGTGAAAATAAAGTATGTTTTTGATGATATAAGGGTATGCTATACATTTACAATTTACAAAGTGATTAGTGGTCTGAGAGGCCAGTGCTCAGGTGAGTTGATTGTGGAGATAAATAATGCAATGTTTTCATTACTATTCCCTTTTTCATTTCCTAATGAACAATCTGTTTCATATACATGTACTGCTCTTTCTAAGGTATCTGATTACATACCAGCATTACCTTTAAGCAGTGTGAGGACATGATCTACATTGCCCTTGGCGGCACTGTCAAACAGCTGCTCCTGGTACTGGGTGGCTACATTGCTGGGCTTCACAGCACTACTGGTAGTACGATCTCCACTCATTCTGAAATTAGTTGTTCAAATACAGATATATTCCATTAGACAATTCTATTTTCAGCATTAATAGAGTAGACATTGGGGTAGGGCAGGTGGCTATCAATGTGCTGTGCCTCATGCTTTCAAGGAACCAAAAAGATAGGGAAGGTCAAAGGTTTCATTTGCTGTTAGAATGCCACTCTCATGCTATAAACTTTAACTACCTTTATATGATTTTTATCCTTATGCCTTGTTTTGTTTTATGAACTATGCTACTTATACAACTTAGATATGTTTTAGTATTCATTCAGGTTTGTATATTTATTACAAAATTTGGCATCTTCGTGTCATTAAGAATTGTATCGTGACCTTCCTATGGTTTCTGACCTCGCTTTCGCTCGGTCAGATACCATAGGAAGGACACTCGTTTCGTATAATTCGTATGTAATGAGACCGAGTGTAGTATTCTCTATATATCTGGTTTCACTGGTAGGTTATGATAACATATCTGGTTTCACTGGTAACACATCTGGTTTCACTGGTAAGGTATGATAATATATCTGGTTTCACTAGTAACACATCTGGTTTCGCTGGTAACATATCTGGTTTCACTGGTAACATATCTGGTTTCACTGGTATATATCTGGTTTCACTGGTATCTTATGACACATCTGGTTTCACTGGTAACATATCTGGTTTTACTGGTAACATATCAGGTTTCACTGGTATGGTATGATGACATATCTGGTTTCACTAGTAACACATCTGGTTTCGCTGGTAACATATCTGGTTTTACTGGTAACATATCTGGTTTCACTGGTAACATCTGGTTTCACTGGTAAGGTATAACATATCTGGTTTTACTGGTAGGGTATGATAACATATCTGGTTTCACTGGTAAGGTATAACATATCTGGTTTTACTGGTAGGGTATGATATCTGGTTTCACTTGTAAGGTATAACATATCTGTTTTCACTGGTAGGGTATGATAACATATCTGGTTTCAGTGGTAACACTTCTGGTTTCACTGGTAAGGTATGATAACATCTGGTTTCAATGGTAAGGTATGATAACATATCTGGTTTCACTGGTAAGGTATGATAACATATCTGGTTTCACTGGTAAGATATGATAACATATCTGGTTTCACCGGTAAGGTATGATAACATATCTGGTTTAACTTGGAAGGTATGACAACATATCTGGTTTTACTGGTAAGGTATGATAACATATCTGGTTTTACTGGTAAGGTATGATAACATCTGGTTTCACTGGTTGGGTATGATAACATATCTGGTTTCACTGGTAAGGTATGATAACATATCTGGTTTCACTGGTAAGGTATGATAACATATCTGGTTTTGCTGGTAACATGTTTGGTTTCACTTGTAACAAATATTTTTTCACTCATAAGGTATATACTTTCATTGCTGGGTATTTGGTTAAAGATAATGTATTACCAACTGATTTCGGGTGTTTAAAAGATTTTTAATAGCTTTACATAATTGTGTTATGTTAAACAATGTCAATATGTTGGTATTATATTTTACTGTGATAATAAAAGTAATAGTTAAACTTTTCAATTTTATTGTTTATGGTTCCATGTTTACTGTTCTGTCTGACTAGTTAAAAGTCCCTTGTGACCTTGGAAAGCCTGATACATTACCTTAATTGTGGTCATTTTTGTTTCCAGGATTTAAGACATTTTGTGCAGGATCTTTGGTTTCATTTTTGACATGATATTGAAATTACACTTCCAAGAAGTTATGTGTGTCATAAAGTAGGGTGAACTTTACAATAATACTGAAGTAACTTTTTTCACTCAGAAACCTACCACCAATCCCTTGTAAGTTTTAATGTAACTGCAAGCAAGATAGCTGTCACTGTGGTTGTTCTTTTGTATTGCAGATTATATCTTCTTTTCTCTACATGAACAAACTGAGTGAATAGATGTACTAATTAGTCAGTCAATACAATGTTCTCTAAGTACATTGGTTAACATATCTGGTTTTATCCATAATGGACGCGTTGACTTTATTGTGTTGTATCTTTGGACATATCACACCTAGCGTGAAGAGATTCAGAAGTGTTATTTTGGTCAGTTACTCATTCACAATGTGAAACTTTAGTGGAGAATGAACCTTATGTAAATCTGTCAAGTCCGGGGATGATTTCATGTAAAAAGAATTCCCTTGTGGGCAATGAAGTATGATCTAATATTAATTACAACAAGCGTAGTAAACTTGGTCTTTATCTAACCATGACTCCCAGAAGGCAGATTGTGAAATGTGCTGGACCAAATGAATATATTCTATGTCATGTTTCTACAGCCATGTTATCATACTGCCTTCATCCCCAAACATATATGTTCTTCATGTCACAGTCCTTTTGTTTAGCAATATATTGCCATCATGGTTGCTTGCTCCTCAAGTTCATTTGATTACTAGTATGTGGTGATGTTGTCTACTTTCCTCTATGTGCTATAGGTAGATTTATCTCATCACCTCTTTATAAACTGGTTCATGTTGTAACTAACCTATCCTAAGTAGGGTAGAAACCCTATTCAACGGTGTATGTTTCTAGGTCATGACAAAATCATCTGACCAAAGTCCATCATGCCATACTTCATAAGACCCTTGTCACATACTGTGTCAGTTAAAGAAGACAATCTACTTTGTGGTCTTGTCTACTACCGCGCTGCCAGCCTGAGAAACGAAATGCCACACAAACGGTGACAACTATGGAAACAAACTACCAGTTATACACCGCACAGTCACATAAGACCTGAAGACAGCTGACTGCCGCTCACTCACTGTCAAAACATCAATGCATTCTACTGTCAAGTTAACAGTTCAACAACAATTTTATACGAAAACAGTGATTATTTCAGTGTTCATTACCTGCTAGCACAGCTGAAGCCTAGTCGAACAAGAGGACGAAATCTCATTTAAATATTCATCGGCTTGATTGGTCACGCTCGTGACACCACAGAAGATCTCACGCGGCTGTCAACGTTTATGCAACAGTATATATTTAGAGTTACCTCCCTTGGAAAAATCCAGCCACTCATTCCAGTTGGGAGTTCATAGAGGCGTTTCAAAACTTACACAAGGCGCGAGGGCAAGCCAAGGAGTATGACCGACAATAACTGATCATTGTAGGGCTGCGTTAAAGCCACTTAGTAAATGTATTGGATTGACGTATTTGACTGAAATATGTGCCGTTTTGACCAAAGTGGCTGGTTCGTGTTGGCGCCGATCCAAAACGAACCAGCCAATTTGGTCAAAACGGCAAGGGTCTTATGAAGTGTGGCATATTGCTAAACAAAAGGACTGAGACATGAAGAACATATGTTTAGGGATGTCGGCGGTATATATGACAACATGGCTGTAGAAACATAGTATATTTATTTGGTCCACCACATTTCACAATCTGCCTGTTGGGAGTCATGGGTGGATAATTAGAGAATAACCAACGAGGTACGAGTGATTACGGGAAATATGCCCGAGTTGAAAAAATGTTCACAGTGCCGAGCCTTGGCGAGGCACTGAACATTATTTTAACGAGGGCATATTTCCCGTAATCACTCGTACCTCGTTGGTTATTCTATTTATTACCCATAATGTAATTTAAAAGGAAGAACCACGAAATAAAAACCACCCGGAGACAGGACTTGTGACCTTAAACAGCTGATTCGTATTCATGCGCGTATTAAACCTAACTTCTCCAGCGGTAATAACATAACTACGCTATGGAAATAGTACATCATAAAATCGCTTTAAAATACAAAAAAAATAATTATGCCTGGAATAATTAATTAACATTTGTTAATATGATAAAAATGATCTTTTAAATATATTATTGAACTTAATAAGAGCTAAACATTTATTCGATCAAGTCAGTGCGACGGATCATCGTTCATTCACGACTGACGTGTTTTCTAGTGACGGTGTAGTGTTGAAACACACTCTGGCAAAAACCTGTCAATTTTTTGGGAAAGTCAACGGTTAAAAGTTGGGAAATCTAAAAGACAACCATCCCACGAATACATCTAGAAAAAGTTTTCTGTCAAGAAACTCAACAAGTTTGAAGATTAAACAACATTTTGTTCTGTGGAAGGCGTGTTACACTCTCGTCTTAGTAGAGTACAGCAGTTCCAAGAAGGATAACTCTAGTCGGAATCCGAGTCTATGAAATGTGTCAATCTCTGCATCGGCTACTGGGACCAACCTCTCAGATTGATTAGGAATGCATGGATATAAAAAGTCATCTTAAAGAAGAACATTTAGCACTGATTCCGGTAAGAAACTAGCTGTTTTCTGGTTCGATGGCATGGACGCCGTGTCCGACTTACTTGTCACACCTTCAAATACATCTTTAGTCGGTATCTTGCTGTTTCTATTTCCCCGAATTCAGTTTCAACAACAAACAGGTTTTGGGAATTCAAGGGCTGTAAAATTCTTATCACTCTTCCTATATGGTCCCCGTCAACTTTAACTAGGTAAGTGACCTTGATCGGGGTTAGCCTAACGGCGGCCATGTTTGTTTACAAACAATGCAAACGATTGTTTGGTGGGGTTTTTTAAAGATTATATAATTTAAAAAGACTACTATTTATAACGCAGTTTCATTCCAAAATAATAACGTCTAATAAAAAGAATATTCATATTCTTTAACCTTAATGTTTTCTTTTTTTAGATCTCGGAATGTGTGATTACATTACTTAATGTCAATTTATCAATGAATCGATGAAACTTTATGAGTGAACGTAGTGTGTGAAAGTAGTTCCGGCATCCAATGAAAATGTACAAATATACGATCAACCAATCAACGTCGAGAATCACTAAATTGCACATTGTGCAAATATCAAAAAGATATTACACGGGATCTCCTCACCCGTATGGGTAATAAATAGAGAATACTACACGAGGTCTCATTACATACGAATTATACGAAACTCGTGTCCTTTCTATGGTATCTGACCGAGCGAAAGCGAGGTCAGATATCATAGGAAGGTCACGAGTTTCGTATAATTCGTATGTAATGAGACCGAGTGTGGTATTTTATTTATTACCCACGTCTTACATGCATTAAACTGACAAAATAGCGTATTTTTGTTAATATTTTGGTTTCAAACCGAAACCGGTTTCATAAAGAGGTTGCGGAAGAGTTTTGTACAGTAGCACTCTCCTACCCAGAGTTCCATGCGGCAAGCCAGCATAGTACCTCTGCCACAGGCCAGAAAAATGTGACGATTCGTCACATCTTGCAATGTCCATTCAATATAATGTACAGATGTCTTTTACTCTTTTATTTTTGACGAGTCTACACATCTAACTAAACATCTTTAATAGAATGGTTTAGTTTCACTGAGAAAATATCCCAAAACATGTAACACTATTTCGATTTGCGTAGCGCTTCTTTGTTTACATAGGTTGTACGGCTCCACGGGCTGTCATCGAAGCTGATGGAGAGCAAACGATGCAGCCAGTTTGATAGAGCACCTTTAGAATACAGCACCACAACTTCTCGTGAGGACGATCTCTGCCGTAGGTCACGTGTCATTAAGACAAGCAACCAGTTTGTGAGAACCCGTCGGACGCGAACCCGCGACCTTCGGATTGTTAGCTCGACAGCTAACCGACTGAGCTACGTCCACACTGTTGCACAATGTGCAAATTTATCGAGTCATTCCTGTGACGTCACGGAAATGAACGGAAAGAGTCGAATAGGTCACGGACAATTACGAATGCTACGGGTAGACTTGGTGTCTCGTGATTTTATTCTCCGGACAATTGCCGAATGGATCCGATGCCATTTGGCACACTCGTCCCATTCCGTAATCTACAAATTAACGTGTGGCGTGGAATGAGCCGATATGCCTCAAACTGAAAAGGGTTGTTGACGTCAGGCGTCAGACGTAGATTTCACGGTGCATGCATGAATGACGCGCTTTTATATAAATCGGTGATTTTGTGACAGAAAAGTGATGTAGGGAACACTGTAAGGATAATGTGGATCGCACTAAGGAACGAGGGAGACATGAGCATGTGTAGTGACGGCACGAGGGTGAGTTAGCCTTCGAATCATTACTTTACAAAATTTATGTTGCGTGTGAAAGAGGCTTGAGTGCAAATTCCAGACCAATTTCCATTAGCCCAAAATGTCTACATTAACCCATTTCATAATGTACTTTCGACGTTTTTGGTTTCCCGTTTTTGTGTGAAATAAAAGTATTAAAATGCAAAAAGGAAAAACAACAAATGGTACTCACGTATTACACCGGTCATGTACCTGCTATATTGGATTAGGTCCCTAACCCTAACCCTAAACCCTAAACCCTAAACCCTAAACCCTAAGCCCTAACCCTAACCCTAACCCTTGAAATAATCCTAATAAATAGAATGCATTGACCGAACCACCGGACATGTACCTACTATATATTGCATTAGGTCCCCAACCCCAACCCTAACCCTAAAACCCTAACCCTAACCCTAACCCTAACCCTAGTCCTAGTCCTAGCCCTAGCCCTAGCCCTAGCCCTAACCCCAATCCCTTGAATTAATCCTAATAAATAGAATGCATTGACCGAACCGGCGCAAACACGACTGACGTGTCTAGTGTAATGCATTATTACCGCTTCGAAAAATAAAATACTAATAAAACACTTTTCTATGTAATGGTGCAAATTACTGAATGACAAATATATATATGTAAATTAAAAAAATAAAAATACAAAATACACAAAACATAACACCTCAGCAGCCCGTAATACAAATAAATATGAGCGTATTAGTGAAAAAAGAAAAATATTTCAAACTGGTGCTTGCAAAATATTGCGCATCCGCCGGTATACAACTACTGGAAACTCTCAACATCGTTGGGCTTATGCAATGACATAGCTCGTAGAGATGAAACACCAGTGAGCGGAGCTTATACGCACTCGCTGAGCCAGACAACCGTGTTGCCATGCAGGCGTCATAAGGCATTGTTTCGAGAACGTGCTTTCGAACAAAATCACATTACATTACGTAAAAGGGTATTATGACGTATTTTTAAAGTTTGTGGTGCTGTATTCTAAAGGTAGGCCTGCGTTTACGTTTTTCGACGGATATAATGTCTCAGTTCGACTCACAATTAAACAGCGACACGGCAACGTTCGCGATGTTTACATTCCGACAATGCATTTAAGTTGTAGAATGAATGAATTCACGTGTTTGTTATGAATGAAAAAATAGTTACGTCAGAATGTGACCTAATTGAGAGGTCATCGGTTATCCAATCAAATCGTTAGAATCTCAGGTCAACGCGATACGACACTCGTGTGACGTACGAGATTAGTATACAACTACCCATACGTTGACCACGTGAGTAATAAAGACCCAAGTTTACTCACAGGCAAATTGTAGCGCAATAGGGTTGCGCAACAAAGAGAAAATGACCAGTCTTCCCATATGCGAACGAAGCGAACCACTTGCCTGTGGTTTACTTCGCTTGTGTGATATTAGATCATACTTTATTGCCCACAAGGGAATTCTTTTTACATGAAATCATCCCCGGACTTGACAGATTTACATAAGGTTCATTCTCCACTAAAGTTTCACATTGTGAATGAGTAACTGACCAAAATAACACTTCTGAATCTCTTCCTTGTTATTCAACATAAGTAATCTATGTAGCCAAATTTAATGCACGCTAGGTGTGATATGTCCAAAGATACAACACAATAAAGTCAACGCGTCCATTATGGATAAAACCAGATACTTTTCCCAATGTACTTATAGAACATTGTATTGACTTATTAATTAGTACATGTCCATTCATTCGACACGGGGTTAAATGTGTAAAGCCCATTTCTGGTGTACCCCGAGCGTCATATTGCTGGAATGTTGCTAAAAGCCGCATAAAACTAAACTCACTCATTGTGGCGTGACGACCGTATGCTTTAACCACTCGGCTACTCCACCATCCCAAAGGCATGTGAGAAACAGTCGGGAGAATACAATATTCAGCATCATTCACCATTACCCTCCA